CAGCTTTTGAGGACACACCCTCAGGGGTGCCTCTTCTAACCCCACTCCATGAATCCTCCATTTTGTAGCAAGCAACGCAGAGCAACCAAGAAATGGAGAGGGTGGCCTATGTCCCATACTGTACTCCAAAATATAGAATTTACAGGTAATTCAAAATTCCTCTCATCTTAGTCGTATAGTACAGGGCACAGACAAAGTATACATAGACCACGGGACATCCCCAAGCAATGAATGAGAAGAAAGGGCAACAACTGTGCAAACAGAACTGTGCCAACAGGCCTAGCATCAAGGGTTAACAGACCCAACTTCAGGGAGCTCCTGCAAGAACCATGCAGCTGAAAGCTGCATATACAGAATACTTGACATCCCATTATAATGTACAGCGCTGAGCAAACTATTGGCGCTATATAAATACTGTATAATAATAATACACCTGGCAGAACTTTAAAAAGTATGAAAAGAGGACCAAGTGGAGGCCTTACAAAGTTGGGCTAAGTGGCCTGGTGCAGAAACGTACAGGAGTCTCCTACTGATCTGGTAGAATAGGCACACAGAAGTACAGACGGAAATTTGTTCAGGAGAGTGCAAACTCTAATGATCAGATTTCTTGTCCATCTCACAATGGTGGACGTGGAAGCAGGGTGCCCCATGGGAGGTGCTTAGGACAGGATAAATAGGGAATCAGTCTGTCTGATTGAAGCTGTAGACTCTAATGACTGACTATATCTAGACAATGAAGAAAGATTTCCTTTGGATGCTTTGGAGCAGGGCATAAGAATGACAGGACTGTCTTCACTGAGGCAGAAAAGAGATACCACCTTGGGACAAAAGGATGGTCTTGGACGCAAGATAACCTTGTCTTTCTGAAGTATGAGCAATGGCTTCTTACAAGAAAAAGCTGCCAACTCAGAGATGCAACAGCTGTGATAGCAACTAAAAACACTACTTTGCAAAATAAGTTATCTAAGGAATATCCCTGATGGGTTCAAAGGGTGATTTTTTGCAGTGCAAAGAGAACCAATTTGAGGTCCCAAGGAAGCAAAGGGTGCTGTAAGAGAGGCTAAATGCGAAAGACATCTTGAAGAAAAGTTTTTACAAGCAAAAGTGAAGCCAGGGGTCAGATAATGGACAATGCCGAGAGCTGTCCCCTCAAAGTGCTTAAGGCCAAGTTTTGCTCAAGACCTGATTGTATGTAGGAAGGCCGGAATGCAAGGCACAGAGCAATCTCTAGGTTTGAATTGCCTGAGTTCACGCCAGGCAAAGAAGGATTTCAAGATACAATAGTAGATCTTCCTGGAAGTGGCTTTTCTTGCTTTTAGTAAAGTCGGAATAACAGACTCAGAAACCCCTCTACCACTCTAACATTTAAGACCTAGGCTTCAACAGTTATGTTATTAAAGCCAGAGAATGAAAAGCAGGATGGAGCACAGGGCCCTGTGATAGAAGAGATGGCATGTGGGAAGAGACCAAGGGTTGTCTGTTGGAAGTCTGAGTAGCTGAGTTGTTCTGGGTCAGTTTGGTGTCATGGGAATCACTGTTTCCCTCTGTTGTTCTACCTTTTTGTGCAGACAAGGCAGAATTTGCACTGCAGGGAAGATGTAGATTAGCCTGAATGGAGACCAAGGAATTATCAAGGCATTCGCTACCAGCGCTAGAGAATCCTTGGTCCTGGCTACAGAGGTAGTTTGTTGTTGAATCTGAAAACTGGGATATCTAAGTCCAGGTTCCCTCATGTCTGACATGTCAGATTGAAGATGTCTGGGTGAAAGTCCCATTCCCCTAGATCCAGGTGGTGGTGGCTGAGGTGGTCCACTTCCCAGTTTTCCAATCCTGGGATGTGGACCAAAGAGAAAACTGGACAGTAAGCTTCTGTCCGTGAGACTATCTGGTTTGCTTCCTTTCAGAATGCAAGACTTCTGGTGCTCCCTTGGTAGCACTGTCTGACTGAACCCTAATTGGGGGTCCATGCAGAAGGGGGTTCAGTGTTGCAGAGCCATCCAAAATGCTCTAAGCTCCAGATGTACATGGGCTTCCATAGGTAACCAGGTTCCGTATACAAAAAATGGCCACAGCCCCAGACTATAACTGGCCTTCACTGCAAGGAGCACATGGAATTCCCAGCTCAACTCACCAACCAACTTGCAAACAAACCGAATTAGCCTAACAGTATGTGTTAAAAACGGGTTTAGTTAGCACACAACTGCAAATACATGTGTAAACTGCAAAGTCTCTTCATGGCACCCTGATATTCTGCAGTTCCTAACTCTACATATTTTGAGAGCCCCCAAGCTGGTTGGCAAGTTGAGCTGGGAATTTGCCTCTTTTATTGTTTGACATGCATCGTCCTACGTGCTCCTTGCTGTGAAGGCCAGTTATAAACTGGGGTAGTGGCCATTTTGTTGTACTGTTGACTTGTTGGTGAGGGGGGTGCACTGGACACCTTGGCTGCCATAGTGCTATATGCTGGGTGTCCAGTGCACTCTTGTATCTTTAAGAAGGGATGGGCTCCCTCAGGGTCACCTTCCCTCAGTCTATCCATTAAATACATGTGCCTCTGCTATGGAGGCTCTCAAAATTTGTAGACTAAGGAACTGCAGAATATTGGGGTACTGTGATTAGGCTCTGCAGCTTACGCATGTATTTGCAAATGTGTGCAAACTTAACCCCTGTTTTTAACGCATACTGTTAGGCAGGCTAAATCGGTTTGTTTGCAAGTTGGTAGGTAAGCTGAGCTGGGAATTCTTCTCTTTTATTGTTTGACCAGGTTCCCTGGAGCGTGAAGAACTGGGACCTTCCTCACCAGCAAGACTGACATCTGTTATCACTTTCCAGCAGTGGTGCACCGAAATTAAAAATCTAGTGCTGAAACCGAAAACTCAAATTTCCCTTCGGTCGAAAACAGAAATGTGCAGTTTTTTAAAAATGAATATATATTTTTTGGAAAAAAATAAAACTTTGATTAAAAAAAAAAAACAAAACAAAAAACAAATATATATATATATATATATATATATATATATATTTTTATACACACATACATACCACGATACCCAACATGTCATGCTTTAAAAATTGCGCACACTTGTGGAATGGCGTGAGACTACGGTACTTAAAAATCTCCATGGGTAACGCTATAAAATTTCTACAGGTTAGCAGTGTAAAGTTATAGAGGAGATCTAGTGTGAGAATTATTGCTCTTGCTATGACGTTTGTGGTGATACCTCACGTGTGGTTTGAACACCATTTACATATGTGGGCATGACCTACGTATGCGTTCACCACTACGTGTAAGCACGGGGGGACGGGGGCACTTTAAATTTTTTTTTATTTATTTAATGTTTTTTGTTTTGTTTGCACTGTCCCTTTAAAAAATTTTTCATCACTGTTATTTTTATCACAAGAAATGCATGCATCCCTTGTGATAGAAATAATTAGTGACATGTCCTCTTTATAGAGAGATATGGGGTCAATAAGTAACAAAACAGTACACGAGGGGTTTGAGGGCCCTGCTCTTTCGAGCTTACAATCTAGGAGGGAGGGGAAGGTGATACAGGAGGAGACGGCTGTGGGGGATGGAGTGGTGGGAGGGGTGGAGGAGGTTGTTAGGTGAGGTCAGGTGTTAGGTGAGGTTGGGGTAGGCTTCCCTGAAGAGGAGGGTTTTCAAGGTGTGCCTGAAGGTGAGGAGGGTGGGTGACAGTCTGATGGATTGGGGTAGGGAGTTTCAGAGGATGGGGGAAGTCTTAGAGAAGTCCTGCAATCGGGCGTGGGAGGAGGAGACCAGGGAGCTATAGAGTATAAGGTCCTGTGAGGAGCGGAGGGCACGGGTAGGGGGTAGTATTTGGGGATCAGGTCAGTTATGTAGTTTGGGGCGGCGTTGTGAATGGCTTTGTAGGTCAGGGTTAGCAGTCTGAATTTGATGCGTTGGGCAATTGGGAGCCAGTGAAGGGATTGGCAGAGGGGGGAGGCAGATGTGGAGCGGTTGGTGAGGTGGATGAGTCTAGCTGCTGAGTTTAGGATCGACTGGAGTGGGGATAGCGTTCGTTTAGGTAGGCCAGTGAGAAGGGAATTGCAATAGTACAGGCGTGAGATGATACGTGGAGTGTACGAGTTGTTTGGTGGTGTCTGGGGTGAGGAATCTTGGAGATGTTGCGGAGGTGGAGCCTGCAAGATCTAGATAGCAGTTGGATGTGGGGTAGGAAGGAGAGGTGGGAGTCCAGGATGACACCCAGGACTTTGCGTGTGGGGTGGGAGAGATGGTGGCGTTGTTAGTAGTGATGGGAGGGGGGGGGGGGGGGGGAAGACCAGGAGCTCGGTTTTGGATAGGTTAAGTTTGAGGAAATGGAGCGACATCCAGTCTGATATGTCGTTTAGGAGGTGGGCGATGCGGGCAGAGAGTGAAGGGGTGAGGTGGGGGGTGGAGAGGTAAATTTGGGTGTCGTCGGCATAGAGGTGGTAATTGAAGCCATGGGAGTGAATAAGTTTGCCAAGGGAGGAGGTATAGATGGAGAAGAGGAGGGGCCCGAGGACAGAGCCTTGGGGGACTCCGACAGAGAGGGGGAGGGAGGGGGAGGTGGTAGGTGAACAATTGAACCCAAAGGTATGGGACATCAGTGAGTAACACTATAATAAATGTTCCCTTCATTGGGAAGAGTGCATTGGAGAATACGTGTTGGGTTTTGTGGCTCAAGTCATGCACTGAAAGGAAGGACTACAGTAGAAAAACAGGCCAAAAAGAGCTTTGGCCACACTTCGCTTTAAATAAACCACAAACAATGTTCTAAGCATTTATGGCAACTAATCAGAAACAGTTTTTCCTATAACTGAATAAAGAAATCTCATGCCTGCACCACTTACTCTGAAAAATAATAATTTACATCTTTTTACTGAGTTACTTTCCAAAACAATCTAATGTAGACATAGTCAGCAAAGTTAATAAACGATAAAAAGCAAACTGTGATGGGAAAGTAACCAAGATGACATTATAGTACAAGATATCTTACCTCCACTTTTAATGAGAATATCAAACAGGTCATCCATCTGCTGGCTGTGTGCATTCATTACCTAGATGATGTAAAACACATTCCATGAATTTCCAATACCTTGTTATTTGACTTAAGTGCTAAAAATAGGCTATTCTTGTATTCAGTGGTGTTTAATAAGGTTGAATAAAAACTACTGGAAGCGTTATGATTTCCAAAGAAATATGTAAATTGTCCATGGCTCCCATTTACTTAAATGTTAGGTTAGGTACTCATGGAATGAAGGTATCCATTTATCCCTGAGCCATTTTGCAGTGTGGCAGTAGCATTTTGTGAGATGGCTGTTCTATGGCTTACTTCATAAGATGTGCTTACTATCAGGAAGCAATAATGCATTCTACCATATATTCTTCTATGGCCAGAAACTCAACCTAATGCAACTAAGGGTTAAGGATTGGGGCATGCCCTGGCATACCAAATCAGTAGATTAAAACTATCCTAGGAGAAGAGACTGACGTAGATGGCTGCTGATCAATTCTGAGGGGAAAATGTCCAGTAGTACAGGATCTCTAAGGGCCCATTCACAGCATTTGCATTGGGATGCTCCAAAATGCAAAAGACAGTGTAATTTGCCTGTTTTCCTATGCTTTTAGGTCATATCACTGTTTTGCAGTGGTGTGTATGTAAAAAAAAAAAAAAGTACGGCATGCAGGATTTGTTTTCAGTGCAGGAAGATGCAGCAAAAACTACCACATTCCAAGACAGCTGTGTGAACAGAACTTGTTACATTTCAATAAAAAAGTTATTTTTTCTTTCTATATATTTTTTTTTTTTTTTGCAATGCACCAGGATCGCCACTTCAGTGTCCTCCTAGCACACACCAGCAGCTGGTTGTTTATCGCAGCAACTTGGGTGAATCAGTCCTAAGACAACTTAGGATATATCATTTTAGAGCTCAATAGATTTTATTTTCTTAGACTTGCATTCAACCAGGACAATCCCAAGAGGCGGACATATAGCCTTACAGGGTTAAAAAGACACAGAGTAAGAACAGTTTTATAATCCTAATTTCTGTTGAGTGTAAATTATTGAAAAGAGTGCTGTGGCAAGAGAGATGAGAATATATGGTAGTGGACAGTCTAATAACAAAGAAAAGCATACATTTTTGAAATATAGGTCTAACAATTTTTATAAGGAAGCAAGTTTAAAACTGGATTTTGGTATAGATGTACTGGATTTTGGTATAGTTAATCAATAGATGTACTAAGTTTTAATTTTGCAATCAATACAGTTTCCCATAATAACCTGATACAGTTGGTATGTACAAATTATGGAAAAATATGTAAAGTGTAAAATTTTTAAAAAAATGTAGTCCCTAATGCCAAACAACCTGTAAAAGCAAATAAAATCTTGGGAGGTATAAATATAAAAAAACAGGCAATGTTATTATAGTATTGTCTCTGCATAACTTGCTTTGAGAAAAGAGCACTGGTTAGAAGAAAACCTAAAAAACCCAAGAAAAGAAAAAGTCTGCAAGGAAGAGAGATCATGTAGGTTTTAATTTTCAAAACATTTTTCAAAGTGCTCTTTGTGATATTTCGGGTAAAGGTCCGTAAAACTTTTTTTTTCAGTTTGGGATAGAGTAGAGAGGGATTAGAGCACCCTGTCATGTTTTTATTGTTGTCTGTGCCCCAGTTAGGAAGATTCACCCTATTTGTTCGGTTAATGTCATCACCAAAAGTAAAAGAAATCCCTAAATTTGGATTGTCCCCAGAACAGTAACAGGAGAAATCTTCCAGTGGGGACACTAGTTCTGGTGACAACCAGGGATTTACTCACTTTTGAGGAACTTTTACCCTGTGTTATTCCATTTTATTACACATAACTTAATTTCTGAACTTATTTGTTTTATCTCAATGGAGAAAAATATCATGCTGGATATCTATATGGACTGGGTAATGTGTTAGGAACGTGAGAATGCCCCATCGTTTGATGGAAATTAAAATTATCAACCTACAGAGGACTGAATTCAAAGACACCCTGAAAATCAAAGTTAAAAAATTATGCAGCAGGCAACTCCATTTTGCTGAAATTTCATTGCAGCAACTCAAAATGGTACTCAGTAGATTGTATGACCCCCACATGCCTGATAACATCGTGGCATGCTCCTAATGATGTATCCTGGGGTATCTCCTCCCAGATCTGGACCAGGGCATCACTGAGCTCCTGGACAGTCTAAGGTACAACCTGGCAGCATCGGATGGACTGAAACAGGATATCCCAGAGTTGTACTGGATTTACGTCAGGCGAGCGTGGGGCCCCATTCAATGGCATCAATTCCTTCATCCTCCAGGAACTGCCTGCATACTCTCGCCACATGAGGCCGAGCATTGTCATTCACTAAGAGGAACCCAGGACCCACTGCGCCAGTGTAGGGTCTGACAATGGGTCCAAGGATTTCATCCCAATACCTAATGGCAGTCAGGGTGCCATCGTCTAGCCTGTAGAGGTCTGTACGTCCCTCCATGGACATGCCTCCCCAGGCCATCACTGACCCACCACCAAAACGGTCTTGCTGAACGATGTTACTGGCAGCATAACATTCTCCACGGCTTCTCCAGACCATTTCACGTCTGTCAAATGTGCTCTCATCTGTGAAAAGAACAGGGCGCCAGTGGCGGGCCTGCCAATTCTGGTGTTCAATGGCAAATGCCAATCAAGCTCTATGGTGCTGGGCAGTGAGCACAGGGCCCACTAGAGGACGTTGGGCCCTTAGGGAACCCTCATGAAGTCTGTTTCTGATTGTTTGGTCAGAGACATTCACACCAGTGGCCTGCTAGATGCCATTTTATAGGGCTCTGGCAGTGCTCATCCTGTTCCTCCTTGCACAAAGTAGCAGATACCGGTCCTGCTGATGGGTTAAGGACCTTCTACGGCCCTGTCCAGCTCTCCTAGAGTAACTACCTGTCTCCTTGAATCTCCTCCATGCTCTTGAGATTGTGCTGGGAGACACAGCACACCTTCTGGCAATGACACATATTGATGTGCCACCCTGGAGGAGCTGGACTGCCTGTGCAACCTTTGTAGGGTCCTCATGCTACTAAGTAGTGACACTGACCCTAGCCAAATGCAAAACTATGAAAAAAACTGTCATAAAATAAGAGTAGGGAAAACAAATGTCAGTGGCCTCCACCTGTAAAGCCATTCCCGTTTTAGGGGTCAACTCAATGTTGCCCATCTAGTGCACCTGTTGCAAATTTCATTAACACCAAAGCAGATGAAACTGAAACCCAACCCCCTCTGCTGCTTAACTGACCAGATCAATATCTGCTATACTCTGATTAAAAAGTGTTCCATTAATTTTTTTGAGCAGAGTGTGTGTGTATATATATATATATATATATATATATATATATATATATAATTATTATTGGAAGAGAGTGAAGTTAAGAGATCGTGGCATGTGATCTTCACCCTACTAAATCGGAGTGAAAAGGGACCTGAATGGATAGAGGGGCTGTGAGCAGGAAAGTAGCTGAGAAGGCTCGGTTATATCCTGGGCCTTGTGACTGCTTCTTCCAGGAGTTGTTTTCTCTGGAGTATTGGCAACATTGTTGCCCTAAAAAGGAGCATCTTGAAAAAAATCTGTAGGCAAGTTCATATAATACCATCTGCTGACTGTATTGAGTATTTTTTATTCTACATGTAACTCCGACCTAAACAGTTTAACATGTGTTTAAATACCAATGTGTGTTGGGTGTTGTCCTGTATCTGTAAAAAACAAGACACTTTCAGGGAAGTTTTATTAATTTCCGTTTGGTCCTGCATAGTTGTTGAAATCATTCAATGGTTTCCAGTGCTGTCTAGCAGATGTTTCTAATACCTGAGTTGTGACTCACAGGAACAAGTAATCCTTTCTAAAATGACACTGTGTTTTAGAGTATCTGCCCTGAAAATGCATCTGTGTTTATATATGTGAGCCAGGATATAAGAACATAAGAAGTCAGGAAGGCATGAAGAAAAGATTGACATTTATCTTCTGTTAGTCTAGCATACTTGAATGTAAACTGCAAGAACTGAAAACTAAATCTGAGCAGAAATAAAAGCCTGCCACCCAGTGTAAGGAACAAAAAGGTGGCTTAAAGGCTAAGCTCACCTTTTGCAAAAAAAGAACTTTATTAGGCTAGGATCACACTTTTCTGCTGGGCTGCATTGTGTTAATGCGTATTGTGCATTGAGTTAAAGCAGCCTTTTACCACAATGTCCAAAAAAACAGACATGCACTACTTTTGGCAACACAGGGCACTATCGTGCGTTAATGTGCACTACAAGGCATGCGCATTGGGAGCTGTATAGCTTTAGTGCCCTGGGCCCCAAGCAAAATTAATGGTACACAAACGTGCGCACTACTGAAAACACACCTCAACAGAATATTGTGTCCCCCTTAATGGTGCTTGGGGGCAATTAGGTAATGGGTTGGTGGGCTAAAAATAAACACATTTTTCGAAGTGCTAAATCCTCTTTTTTTGACCACATGATTAAAATAATCTGAAGCTGACATCCAGATCACCAAATAAATGTTATCAAGAAATATTGAAAAAAGTAATTCTAAACATTATGTGATACATTGAAGATCACCATTGCTAGAAAACCAAGGGAACTATCCAGAAAAAACAGCAAGACAATTTCAACAGTCAGAAAGAATCAGGCCTACGTAAGCAATTGCAAAAGCATACATGTCAGATTTTTGGATTTTAACATAGCATTTTAATTATACATTAAACCTATAACTTCAGAAAAGAAGCTGCTCTCGTTACAGTAAGGCTAGACATTCATCATAATTAAACAAATCTTTCAACATAATGAAACTGGATAAAAAAAAATGAAATTTAAGACATAAAATGTGGTCAAAAGTAACAGCTGCCCAGCATTGTTCTGTAATTTCCAAAGTATTTTACTGGGACCAATCAAATATTTCCTTATTTCCTTTAAGAGGAAACAAGAGAATTCGAGAAAGCTTGATCTAAAACCTCCCTGTAATTGCAGATTTTTGGTAAGCTACGTGCCTGTTTTATGGCCTCTTCATAGCGCGGAGGGTCTTTTGATTTAGCACTGGAGTTGTTGAACAAAGAATGCCGAACAATGTACTGCTGCGATGGGGAAGTGGAATTGGACTGCAGAAAGAAAACAAATAATAATGTTAATAAAAAGATAAAGGACTCAACAATCTGAGGGACTTACAAGCGTTAATCTGCATTCTGGAAGCTCTTCCTCTGACTTTAGAAGGATATTATTTTCATGCACTATGTTAGTACGACAGCCTCTTCATATAAAATTGTGTTGGAACATGGAACTCACTTTTGTGCTTAGATGTTCTTATAAAATTAGTGACCTCTCAGTTTGGGCAAGTTCTGAAACCAAAAGTCAGAAGCAGACATCCTCGTCACCTACGCAAACATGTTTGCTTCATTTTAGTGGTATCTAAATTTGGAATGTTTAAATATGAAAATGTAGACACTGCCTAGCAGCGTAGATTGCTGTCCACTCCATCTATCCTCCCAAACATTTCTAACATGCCATCGATATGAATGGTGGCCATCCCAGTCAGTAGGTAGGTAGGTGCAGGGTGGTGTAAGCCAGTTACTAATGTTTTAGGAAATGTTAAAATTTGCATATTTGGGCACACTTTAGGCTGCATTCACACCGGAGCAGAGTGATTTTCAGGCGTTTTTATTGAGAGTTTTTGAGCTTTTTAAAAGTGTACAAGTGTACAAACGTTTTAGAGCTTAAGGCATTTTTGTTTAGACAATACAAAGCACTAGGGAAGGAGATTAGGGGTGGAGAGCTGCTGTTTGAGCAGAAAATGTGCAACAAAATGGTCGTAAAACTCTCATGATGAACATTCTCAGGCATTTCCACTGAGGTCTATGGGGCAAAAACACCTGTAATCTGCCAAAAATGATGGCTGTCTGTGACAGCCGGCATCCAGCACTAAGCCCAGGAGCATGAAGAATCATCTCCTAGGCTTCTAATCTTTCCATACAGCCCTCCATTGGAGCACTTGTAGCAGACTAAAGAAAAAACACAAATTATCTGCACTTTATTTACACTGAAAGTGCAGTGACATCTCAAGTGGTAAAATCCCGTCAAGATTTCTATATGGGGACAGTGATGCTGACCCAAATAGCTAAAAACGAACTTAAAGAACACAAAATGATTAACATTTCACAAAATATATAGCAAAATGTGTAAACAAGGTAATCCTGCTTAACTGGAATGAATCTCCTAATGGATCTAATAATACATTACATTTTGCAAACAGATTACTGCATTTGCAAACTGTGATTTTACTTTGTGCACTTTACAATAAGCCAGTATTTTTTTAAAATTGATTTACAACCCCAATTCCAAAAAAGTTGGGGCGCTATGTAAAATCTATATAAAAAAAAATGCAATGATTTGAAAATCTCATAAACCCATATTTTACAATAGAAAATAGAAAACATTTCAATGTTTAAACTGAGAAAATGTACCATTTTAAGAAAAATTAAGATACATTTTAAACTTAAACAGCAACATGTCTCAAAAACGTTGGGACAGGGCAACAAAAAAGCTGGCTAAGTGGTACTAACAGGGGAGAGCAAGAACAACATTTCACAACTAATTAGATTAATTGGCAACAGGTCAGTAACATGATTGGTTATAAAAAGAGCATCTTAGATTGTCAAAGTGTCTCAAGTAGAGATGGGCAGAGTTTCGCTAATCTCTGAAAAGCAGCATCTAAAAACAATCAAACAATTTCAGAATAATGTTCCTCAACAAAAACGCTAAAGTGCAAAGACTGTAAATATATTATCTACAGTACATAATCTAAAAAGATTCAAATCTAAAGAAATCTGTGTGTGCAAGGGACAAGGCCGAAATGCAATATTGAATGTCCATGATCTTTGGGCCCTCAGACAGCACTGCATTAAAAACAGACATGATTCGGTGATGGACATCACTGCATGGTCTCAGGAATACTTACAAATATCACTGTCTACATTTCAAGGTAAAGCTCGATCATGCAAAGAAGAAATCTTATCTGAAAATGATCCAGAAATGCTACTGACTTCTCCAGTGCAAAGGTAATTTAAAATGGTCTGTTGCAGACTGGAAAACTGTTCTGTGGACAGATCAAATTCCAACATTCTTTTTGACAACCGTGGGCGCCAAGAAGAGAAAGACCTTCCAGCTTGTTATCAGCACTCAGTTCAGATCAGTATCAATTCAAAAGCCTGGATCTCTGATAGTATGGCAGTGCATATGGAATGGCGAGTTTGCACATCTGCAAAGGCACCATTAATACTGAAGATACGTCCAGGTTTTAGAGCAGCATATGCTCCCCATCCAGGACAATGCTAAACTGCATACTGTATCTATGACAACAGCATGGCTTCATAGTGGAGTCTGGGTGCTTAACTGGCCTGCCTGCAGTTTAAACCTTTTACCAATTGAAATTATTTGGCGCATCCTGAAATGAATATGATAAAGGCAGCCCAGGACTGTTGAGCATTTAGAAACCTGTATCAGGCAAGAACGGGACAATTCTCTCCCAAAACTGCAGCAACTGGTCTCCTCAGTTCCCAGATGTCAGAGTGTTAAAAGAAAAGGGGATTCTACACCGTGATAAACATGGCCCTGCCCCAACTTTTTTGAGACATGTTCCTGCCATCAATTTTCAAAATTTTCTCAGGTTAAACATCTCATATGGTTTCTATTTCGATTGTGAATAAAATATGGGTTATAAGATATGCAAATCATTGTATTCTGTTTTTATGGAGATTTTACACAGTGTCACAACTTTTTTGGAATTGTGGTTGTAATATTCATGCATAAGTCATTCAGTGTTTAAACAGAGATAGTTTGAAAGCTTATGCAAGGAAACGCTTACCAAGATATACAACCTAAATTACATTCCAGAAAGCTCTCAGAATAGTGTCTTAACAATCCTTGCCAGCACTGAACTCAGGAAATATTTAAAGTTAAAGTGTCAAAAAAGAAATACCAAAAGCACACTGGATTGCACAGATTACAAACTTTAAAGTGAAAATTATAAAGCTTACAAAAACTCTAACATGATCCAGGTATTGAGCCAAACAGCATGCAGCTCAATACCCCATATAATGAAAGCCTTTAAAGTGGAAATAAACTCCTTTTTGCATATTTTACCTACAAGAAAGCCTTTAAGAAGGCTTACCACTTGTAGGTACTGTAAAGAAGTCTTAAACGTGCACAGTTTAGGAGATATTTACTCTAGAAGCGCCGGTGATTACACCGGCACAGACACACTGCACTCTCAATGGACAGCGTGCCATCCATTGAGAGAGCCGTGCCCTGGCTGAAACTCCCTTCGCACATGCTCTGGAGTGACAGCATCACGGCTCGGCCAATCAGATGGCCACAGCTCGCAAACCCGGAAGGAAGACCGGGTGAAGATGGAAGCCTTGGGGTGCCGTGACAGTGCTTCACTGGGGGGATTCGTTTTCAGGAAAGTCATTCATAATGTGATGCATACTAGCACATTATGCTCTTAGCTTGCAGGGAGAAGATTTTTTAGAATTTTTTTTGCAGTTCACTACTGCTTTAATTCTACAATATGCCAGTAATAAAAGAGCAAAAACATATATGGACCAATTCTCCCACCAACTGTAACATGCTCCATGCTCACAGGAAAACCAGCACAAAGATCACTAATTGAGAGCCTGAATGAACACCTCTGGTGATTGCATACTGTTGCCCAGAGGACACTACCACTAACATTTTTCGGGTTCTACCCCTTCTTTCAAGTCCTATGACTCTGAAAAAAGGACAGAGCCGTGCCCCCCACCAAATAAAATATACATATGATCCAGCCTTCACAACCTTGTAAAAGCATCTCTGTTCTCAGACACAAGTATAATTTATCAGAGAATGTCTGACCTCTTGAACTGTTGATGGACCATTTTGCACAGGAGCAGCCTGCTGTGTTCTTGTTTGTTTGCTGGGATGTAGTTGACCCGCTGGTATTAAATGATGGTGGAACTGTGGTGACTGGATTTTGCGGATATGAAAATATATTGTTTGATGTTGTCGGAGCACAAACCTACAAAAAAATAAAATCCAGATACTTGTGGACAAAGTACAAAATGAATCACATACAAAAAAGGTGTTCAATATCCAAAATCTGCCAATATGATTAGTTTTGCAAGGAGCCCAAAGTTCCTCACTGCTGTGCAAGGTTATCATAATACACAATCTATGTTATGCACAGGTTACAGAGATGTGATCTGTTTCATCAAAGCACTACACTTGCAGTTGCTTCTTACCATGTCTAGGACCTAGATATGTGACAGAAAAACACTTACCCGGGTTTTATTTTCTTGAGCTTTCTGCAAAGAAGTAGAGATGTGGTTCCTTTTACTTAGAACTTCACTCTTTCGCCCCTTTCACACCAGCGATCTGATCAGGTCTGCCTGATTGGAAAGGGGATGTATCCTATGGACCGGCGGGTGTAAACGGACTTGTGTTCATTCACACTTACCTACCTTCAATCTGGTCCACTTAAAGGATAAGTTTTGGTCCACTTAAAGGATAAGTTCACCTTTTAGACAAAAATAGTAAATGCACATTTTTTTGCAGGTAAAAAGGAAAAAAAAAAAAAAAAAAAGTGTACCTTTATTATTTTTGTCTGCAGGACCTGGAAAGCATTGCACCCACGATCAGTAGATTGAGGATGCCACGCAGGTCTCCTGAAGACCTGTCAGAATATCTGCTTGCAGTACGGGATGTACAAGCAAGCAGATATTCTGACAGGAAGCTTCAATGAACTACCACGGTGCTCCACAGCACCATGGTAGTTCATCAAAAACTACAATCTGACAGCCACTAAGGCTGTCGGGACTTGCAGTTCACTCATTCATGGAAATTCGTGAATGAATGATGCGGCTGTGTGGGCGAAGCCCCGAACGCCCGTGCGGTTTTAAAATTTGACAGATTAGTACAGGGAGACTTCTAGAGAAAAAGAAATAAAAGAAAAAAAAAAAGGGAAGGAAAGGGATCTGTCCTCCTCCATCTAGGTGGATCAGGTCAGAGGTCAGTCGGGTATAAATGGACAGCCAGTCCATAGAGCAGACACGGACCTGTCATCTACTTGCTTTGCTCAGCAAGGGATCAACAGACAGATTTCCTGCTAAGCAAATCACTGGCCGGGATCAGCTGATTGGCGGCCGCGAATGGTGCGCGGGTAGGGCACGTGCGGCCCCTACCCATTGATGCAAAATCATGTATATATACACATGATTTTGCGCACCCCTGCCGCCCTGTAGCAATAGATCTGCTATAGGGAAGCCAGGAAGCGGTTAAACCTTTCTCTGATACTATCCTATTTTTAAAACTTAAACTGACCATTACACACAGAGCAGTTTGCTTCAACAGTAGTCTATCGGCTACACAACAGAAATCTGTACTCTGATGTGAACTAATTTAGAATAACCAGCACAAACAATACTATAGCTGACGCCATATAGGCTACTCTAACCGTGCAGCACAGCGATCAGTGGTGCGCTGTGTTCCTCGGGCACAGCGGATCACTGATCAACGGAAAGAGCCGAAGATGTTGGCTCGGTCATGTGATCAGCTCTGTCCAATCACAGCTGATCACATGTAAATAGGGAAATGCCGGTTATTGGCATTTCTCTCCTCATGAGCTCGTGAGGAGTGGAGAGCCGGTAATAGGCATCCCCTTTAGAGGGGACATCTACACTGATCATCAGGGCACTGATGGGCACCATCAGTGTCACCTGTCAGTCTCCATCAGTGCCACATCAATGCCATATATCAGTGCCTACCAGTGCCACCAGTCAGTACCACCTATCACTGCAGCCCATCGGCACTCATCACTGCAGCCCATCGGCACTCATCACTGCAGCCCATCGGCACTCATCACTGCAGCCCATCGGCACTCATCACTGCAGCCCATCGGCACTCATCACTGCAGCCCATCGGCACTCATCACTGCAGCCCATCGGCACTCATCACTGCAGCCCATCGGCACTCATCACTGCAGCCCATCGGCACTCATCACTGCAGCCCATCGGCACTCATCACTGCAGCCCATCGGCACTCATCACTGCAGCCCATCGGCACTCATCACTGCAGCCCATCGGCACTCATCACTGCAGCCCATCGGCACTCATCACTGCAGCCCATCGGCACTCATCACTGCAGCCCATCGGCACTCATCACTGCAGCCCATCGGCACTCATCACTGCAGCCCATCGGCACTCATCACTGCAGCCCATCGGCACTCATCACTGCAGCCCATCGGTACCCATCACTGCTGCCTCATTAGCGCACATCAGTGAAGGAGAAAAATCACTTATTTACAAAATTTTAGAACAAAAACTAAGAAAAAACTTTTTTTTTCCCCAAAAAATTTTCAGTTGTTTTTGGTTTGTTTAGCAAAAAAAATAAAAAACCTACAGGTGATTAAAATACCACCAAAAGAAAGCTCTGTCTCAAAAAAATATATGGGTACAGTGTTGCATGACTGCGCAATTGTCATTCAAAGTGTGGCAGCACTGAAAGCTGGAAATTGGCCTGGGCGAGAAGGGGGTAAAAGTGCCCTGTATGGAAGTGATTAAGCACCCATAATCTGACATTTTGTTAGTTTACTGGCAAATTGAACCAAGGGGCCTTTCACACTGATGCAATTCTCCTGTGTTTTTACCTTGCAGGAAAAAACATGTTTCCCTTTAAACCCTATGGGACTCTTCACACCACTGTGCTGCGTTTTGAAGTTCTGCATGCTGCATCTTTGGTGTGGTTTTCAACACCGCACCGCACCAAAAATGCAGCTCTCCATTGAAATGAATGAAAAATACAGCAAAAATGCACATGATATGTTTTTGAGTCACGTCCATTTTTCACAGGCACAGGTAACCAGAAAATACTCTGGAAATGCATCTAAAATGCAGCAAAATTTTGGCAAAAACATAGGCATTTTTACCACTATTTTGCTACAGAGCAGTATGAAAGTAGTTTTACTGTGGGTTCTGCCTTTGTTTGGACGACCAGCTAGTTTGTACATCAGACCTGGATATCAAAGAGATAACATTATCTGTGTGCTGTAGCCACCACACTATATACAACAATGATCTAACATTCTTACAAATAACTTGTCATCAGGTTTTGTGAAATAATGAACACTTGCCTAGATTTGTACAGACATGCAGATAATCCACTAATAATCCATAACATCCCAGCATCTATAATAACTACATATTGGCCAGTTTTATAAATCATTGTTGTACAGCTCCGTGTGTTATGCAACGCTAATTCTTTATAAAGTTTCAATGAATCCCCTCCCCGCTATAGAGTTCAGAAGGCGAGATATGCATTGCAAAACACTGTCTCCCCCTACTGGTTATTGGAAATAAGGCAGCTTTCGTAATAGATTAGATACAACATGAATACTTTGCATAAAAGCATATCTTCATCTAAAGAGAAGCAGATCCCATACATTTCCAATCATTCATCCTTTATATAAATTATTAAATCAAGTAGCCATTGACTGATCCAAATTAATTCTTGGGATGCTGTATTTTATGCTACTTTAGCAGAAATACTTTGGATATTAGTAAGTACAGAATTAGTGCATCAGTGGATGAAGAGAGACAAACAATATACCCAGCGCTGCATAAGCCACTATATTTAAAGCCAAACTGCTAAAACTTTTTTTTTAGCTCTAGATATACTGGAGAAGGGATAGAACATCGGTCTGTGCTCTTGTTGAGATTTTCCCTCACATTCTATTTAACAGCTATCAAAAAAAGAAGGGAGTAAAAAAGTAAAACCATTAAAGGGTAAGTTCACCCTTTGTGACATGTTACACCCATATTCAGGTATTCAAAAAATAAGTGCACATTTTTCACCTGCAAAAAGATGTGCATTTATAATTATCTTTTAAAGAGGTGAACTTATCCTTTAAAACCCATCAGAGGTTCTAACCCTTTCCCTCTCCCCCCACCTCCATTTTCCCCAGAGTGTATTCCATTCATTCTCACATTTGTTGGATCACGCACCTTTCTTGTTTGCTGGTTCTTGTTCAGAGCATGTGTTGAGAACTTGTCTTGAGCTGCAGGTGGTTTCTGAGATGAAGGTGCTTGGACCAACGCTGCAGCAGTTGTAGTAAGAACTGGAGGCTGAGCTGTGCTTGCTGGTTGTGGCTGGGCCCAAAACAAAAACATTTTTTTTTTTAAACTCAGACAGCTTGAAACCAATTGTTTTTTTTTTTCATATAAAAGAACATAGGTCATTATATATATATATATATAAAAACACATGCATCATCTATTTCGCCAAACACAAACATAGGGCACCTCATCATATCTTGTTGATTATATTATAATGGGTTTGTTATATTTTCCTGGAACATGGGATTTTCTTTTTAAGAAACCTAATGAGAACACAAACCAGAACAAAATCAAAAAATATCCTAAGCTTAATGCAACTAACTTGTTTATACAACACAGCAGTTGGCTTTTCACTTCCACATATACTCCATATTACATTGTCAGGAAATTGGATAACTGCACAAAATACACGACTTATGCATTTTTGGTGTGCTCTCAGAAAAATGCACCAAAAATTCCCAATCTAATAGAAGCATATGGGAGAGTGCGGGCAACCCACATGAAAACAGCAGGGTAAGAATAAGAATCACCAGCACTTTTCTCCTCTATCATTTGCACCTGTTAAAGGAAGATCTTCAATGAAGGGAAATATATAAATCAGCTGGAAATGAGTCAAGGAATAAACCAGAGCACCTACTGTGAAGGCTAGAGAATCCCTTGTCTTGTTATTGAACCTGGAGGCCAGGATAACAATCCGGTTTGCCCCACTTTTGATGGGGATTTGGAAAATCTCTGGGTGTACAAACCACTCCCCCAGGTCTAGGCATTGATAGCTTAGAAACCCCCCCCCCCCCCCCTCCCCTGCTAACTCTCCATTTTTCCAGAACGTGAACTGGAATGTACGATTCTGCCCATAAAAGAGTATTAGACTCACTTTCCCTCCATACTCACAGGCTTCTGGTTCCCCTGTGATGATTTATGTAGGCCACTGCTGTGGCATTGTCCACCTGCACTCATATTGGGTGACCCTGTGGAAAGGAGGTTCAATGTTGTAGAGACAGTCTGAATGTTCTCAAGTAGCTGTGACTGCTGTGGGGACAATACCCTGAATAGTTACCGAGCTGCAAACTCTGCCTCAGCCTGTAAGGCTCACATCTGTGGTCATATCTTAAGACGGAATGACTTTCTCCATTCCAGTGCAGAATTGGAAATCCACCATGTCAGGGAAGTCTTTGACTGACTGGACAAAAGCACTGGGTGATCCAAGGATAGGATTTGTTTGCTTACATCTTGAGGATGTTAGATTAAAAGGGTCTGAAGTGAAACTAGGCAAAGGGAACTGCCTTGAGGGATGTCACCATGAGACCAAGAACCCTTATGCTGAAGCGAATTGAGGAGTGTCATTCTGACCTGGAGGTCAGAGAGCTGGACCTCAGGGAGACAATCTTCTTCTAAAGGGGGAATATATTCTGACCTGGGCTGTGCCCAAGATTAGACCAGGTACTCCAGACAATAATAAGACTAGACACACTTTGAAAAGTTGATTACCCAGTCAAAGGTTTGAAGGAACTGGATGGTTCTTTGGACATTGGCAGACAAGATTCTGGCGAAGGTGTCCTTTAGCAAGAAGTCATCCAGGTAACCTGTGACATGAATACCCAGGTTTCACAGAGGAGACAGCACTTTTGTGAACACTTGGGGTGCAGAGGAGAGCACAAATGGAAGTGCCACAAATTGTTGGTCTCCCACAGCAAAACGCAGAAAGCATTGAAAAAAGGGAATAGATAGGGAAGATAAACATAAAGATAAACATATTGTATGGCTACTGATGCAAGAAATTCCCCTTCCCACTTTGAGGAAAGCAATGACAGATTTTGCAGATTTCATCTGGAATTTTTTTAACTTGAAGAAGAAAATATGGTTAGTGATTTTAAGTCCATTGTTGGGGGTAGATACCCCCATTTGGCTTAGGGACTGTAAATAGTTTTGAATAGAAACTTTAAAACCGGTCTTCTGAAGGAACTGATACAACCACTCCTTTTGCCTGAAGCTGGTTCAAGGCAGTCACCAAATCTGCCTTCCTTTGATCTGAAGCTGGCAGATTTAAAAGCAAAAAGCGAGGAGGGGTATAGATAGAATCTATAAATTCATTCTTTGAAATGACAGATTGGACCCAGTGGTTCATGATGTCTCAGATCCAGACTGAGGGAAACGCCAACAGATGCCGCCCCCCCCCAGCTCCTCAAGAGGAGTGGGAGCGCCCCTTAATTTGGAGGAAGGCTTCTGAGAAGGCTTAGTGGGCTTAAGAGGAAAGGAAGTGTAAAGCCGTGGATTTGAGGTTGACATCTGAGAAGAACAAGAAGATCCCTTTAGGTAGAGAGAGAAGCCGTAGGAAGTTTAGGCTACCACTGTGGTGTAGGAGTACCTTACCTCCAGCAACTTTATTGGTGAATTTGTCAAGGGATTCCCCAAAGAGGCGTTCACCAAAGGACAAGCGTGGAAAATAATTCTTACAAGCACGTTCAGCAAACCAATCAACGGAATTCTTAAAAAAGGAAACATCCTAAATGGGAACTCTAAGGGGTTTATTGAGAACTGAAAAGGCAGGGTCCACTACTGGAGCAGACCATTCTTTTTTAAAATTCTTTTTCATAGGATAAATATCAGCAGAAAACTTTTTTTTGGGAATAGCAAAGCTTCATACATTGCTCAATCAATCTGGGCATATGTTGGCATGTCTTTTGACAGGCAGGGGTAAACAAACATGGTGGTGATCGTCGCTGAACCGGAAATGACATCACCATGCTTCCAGTGCTTCTTGACCTTTAACTTATAGATCAACGTTTGGAGGTGAGCGTGTATGCCGGATGATAGTGGACACAGCGGTATACCAAGGGGAAAATTCACTTTGAACCTTTTCATGAATATCACTGTGGACTGTCACTTTATATTTTACTAATTATCTTTTGATTTATCGCTTTGCACATCCACTTTTGGTTCATTTCACTTACATGTAAGTTACACCACATTGTGATTTTGATATAGTTATATATTTTTTTTTCTCACAAGGCTTGTACTAGATGGTCAGCCGGTTGTTTATTAGTTGAATTTTCCACTGTACACCTGTGAATTAGGCTCTGTTGGGTTTTTATCAACTATTCGCTTTGGGGAATTGTTTTTGGTATGTAATATATTAGTATATGAACTAATGTGTAGGTGGGTGGTTCATTTATTTATTCACTTATTTATTGATTGTTTTGCAATTTATTTAGGTTTAGACATACAGGGCAGTGCTATTTATTGTTTTAACTAAAATGATGGGGGTTTTTTCCATACAAGAATACAAAGTTTGGAGTCACATGAAAGCTAACCTCAGAATTGTATTGTTTTGAGCTGAGCCATTCCACCGCAGTTATCTATGATTTAGCTAGAGCGCAACAGAGAACAAAAAAAAGATAGCCAATTGTGCTTCCTATAAATGTGCATATAGAATACCAATGCTACTGATCCTAAAAAAAAAAAAAAAAAAAAAGCTTAAAACTGTAATGCCAGAACTTAAACAATTATATGCTTCAATGATGTTTCAACTTCTACTTGTTTTTATGCTATTATGTTATAGATACTAGAACAGAGATCAATACTATGCGATAACCCCAGGGACAAAGTAATGATCTGCATGACACTGCTCTCTGATCTTGAATACAGATTAAAAAAAAAAATTATAGTGTATTAGTGCTATAAAGCTCCAAAGGAAAAATTACACACCTGAACTACTGAGAGTTGCATTGCATTCGTAGTTTTGATAGAAACAGGAAGTAAAATCTGAGCGGTTGGAGTGGTTAGGAGTGCTTGAGACTGAGCTACCACAGCTTGTGGTGGCCTTTGAGAAGTCACATAGAATTGCTGGATAATATTCTGATGTTCAGGATTGGGAACTTCATGTTTGATGACAACAGCGTTGTTGGCAATAATACTCTGACCACCAGTAGTTACTGTGGACTGTCCTATCAAATGGCCACTTAAAATAGCCGGAGTAGAATTCTGGCAGTCAGACATAGAGTTCTCCTCCTTAATATTAGCAGTGAAGTGCTTCTGATCCACGTTTACCAAGATGTTAGAACATGGCTGTTGTTGGCCACGTTTCTCTACTTCAAGCTGCATCTTCAAAACTTCAACAAGCTTCTGCTCCTGTTCCAACTTCCTCTTAAGTTCCTCAATTTGTTTCTCTTTTTCTTGAAGCTTGCGGTCTTTTTCTGCAGCATCTAAGTCCATGCTTATAGTGCTAACACTGGTAGCCCCTATGCTATCCTCATTAATACCAACTTTAATAGGCGAAGCATTCATAAACTGAGAAGGCGACATCATGGTCATAATCTCAGCAAAAGTGTCTGTCATGTTAGTGTCTTCGGTGCTGAAGTTGGATTGTTCAGAAGGGGTGGGAGACATGGGTAATGGGGAGTTCATGGCATCCAAAGATGCCTGGGTGTTTCCATTTGTAGATGAAGCAATCTCTATATTCATGTTTTGAGAAGAACTACTAAAAGCTGCCGCAGTAAATGTTGTAGCATCCTCTATGGCACCACTACCCGTAGAAGCGCTGGCTGCTGTGGTGGCGACTGTTGCGGAAGTGTTTGCAGCTACACCATTATTATTTAAATCCTGGTATGGCTTCAGACGTTCAATAAGATCTGTTTTTGTGCCAGATACTGGCAGGCCTCTAATCTTCAATTCCATTTTGAGTTCGGCAACCTGAAAAAAAACAAAAGTAAAGTGATAAATATGAGTTGTATACAAATGCTTTGCATTCCCATGCAAATTCATCATTTAGCTAATAAAAAGGAAATTATGGATACTGGTTACATTTCAAACTTAAAAGGAGGATATGTGGTAGCAACAGCTACATGCCCCTGGTGTTATATTTTATATGCCCCGCTTGGTATTTTGTACACTACATTATTAGACTCTTTCACACCAATGTAAATGCATAAATGAGAAGCTAAGCCAGGATTGAAATTAGAAGTCAATGACTAGGTTCAAACATGGAATGCTACCAAACCATGCTCACAAACGTTTTTGTTATAGAAACAAAACTACAAAGTAATACTTCAATAGTATATGGAACTAAGTCACACATGGACCCCTACACTGCTTTTGTGGCTGCTTGAGCCAGCTGCCTTTGTTCAAATTGATAAACATGTTCCCTGGTGCAGTGGTTATTACATAGAACATATAATATACAGTTGTGTTCAAAATAATAGCAGTGTGTTGAAAAAAGTGAATAAAGCTCAAAATCCTTCTAATAGCTTTTATTTCCATACACACAAATGCATTGGGAACACTACACATTCTATTCCAAATCAAAACATGAAGAAAAATATATCAAATTTGTGTTGTTCCTCTAAAAAAAATTGAAGAAAAGTGAATATTAGACGGTTCAAAAAAATAGCAGTTTGTATTCTTCTTTACAAACTCAAACATTCACTATATAAACTGAAAAATGTTTGGAGATTTTGCTTTCCTTTGAATCACTTAATTAATATTTAGTTGTATAAGCACTGTTTCTGAGAACTGCTGTACATCTGTGTTGCATGGAGTCAACCACCTTCTGGCATCTGTGAACAGGTATTCCAGCCCAGGATGATTGGACTACATTCCACAGTTCTTCTCTATTTCTTGGTTTTGCCTCAGAAACTGCATTTTTGATGTCACCCACAAGTTTTCTATTGGATTAAGATCCGGGGACTGGGCTGGCCACTCCATAACGTCAATCTTGTTGGTCTGGAACCAAGATGTTGCACGTTTACTGGTGTGTTTGGGGTCGTTGTCTTGTTGGAACACCCATTTCAAGGGCATTTCCTCTTCAGCATAAGGCAGCATGACCTCTTCAAGTATTCTGATGTATTTAAACTGATCCATGATCCCTGGTATGTGATAAATAGGCCCAACACCGTAGTATGAGAAACATCCCCATATCATGATGCTTGCGCAACCATGCTTCACTGTCTTCACAGTGTACTGTGGCTTGAATTCAGTGTTTGGGGGTCGTCTGACAAACTGTCTCCAGCCACCAGACCCAAAAAAAAACCAATCTTACTTTCATCAGTCCACAAAATGTTGCGCCATTTCTCTTTAGGCCAGTCAATGTGCTCTTTGGCAAATTGTAACCTCTTCAGCATGTCTTTTTTTCAACAGTGGGACTTTGCGGAGGCTTCTTGCAGATAGCTTGGCTTCACATAGGCATCTTCTATTTGTAACAGTACTCACAGGTAACTTTAGACTTTCTTTGATCTTCCTGGAGCTGATTGCTGGCTGAGCCCTTGCCATTTTGGCTATTCTTCTATCCATTCGAATAGTAGTTTTTCGCTTTCTTCCACGTCTTTAAGGTTTTGGTTGCCATTTTAAAGCATTTACGATCATTTTAGCTGAGCAGCCTATCATTTTCTGCACTTCTTTATATGTTTTCCCCTCTCCAATCAACTTTTTTAATCAAGGTACGCTGTTCTTCTGAACAATGTCTGGAACAACCCATTTTCCTCAGAATTTCAGAGAGAAATGCGCTGTAACCAGCATGTACAACATTTGCTGCCTTCCTTCCTTAAATAAGGGCAATAATTGCCACCTGTTTTTCAAAGAATGAATGACCTCACTAATAGAACTCCACACTGCTATTATTTTGAACATGCCCCTTTCAATTAGTGATTCAATTACACAGAATCAGCAGCATGCATGTCATGACTGTTGGGTCTGTTGGATTTCTATTACTCTACTACACCTGCTAGTAACTTATTTGCCATGTAGAAATATCATTTCTACCGAAAACAGTAATTGATCAGGTTAGTGATGTCTGACTGCTATTATTTTGAACACAACTGTACTACCATATGCTGTTCGAACATTCAAATACAGAAAAGTCATTATTAGGAACTGCTCAATATGAAACTCAGTAATGCTGGTCATACATGATTCATTTTTGTCGTTCATCCAGGTGATAAAACAGGAAAAAAAAAAAAAAAAATTAACCAATTGCCCATCCACACATTTGACGTGGATGGGGGAATCATTTTTGGCTGCACTATTCTGCTGGCAGGGAGCATTCCCCGCCAATAGAATACAATGATAAGTGTAGCCAATGGCAATGATCGTTTAGCTGTACACCAATTGATTGATACACCAACTTGACAGATAGATCGACTTGTGTACAAAGCACATACATGGACCAAAATACAGCCGTTATCTGCTGAATTGGCCGAATTTTGATTCATGTATGGTCGGCTTTTTACCAGCAGACTTAGCTGACTTTTTGAAATATTGCTTATATCACCAATAGACAGTACTTTCTTCCTCACTCACACGTTCACCTCTCTTTCTTCCTTTCCTATTAACCAATATAATCAAATTGCTAATAAATAAATAAATAAATTAAATCTCAGATGTACCTAGAAACAAAGCTTACAGAAAGTATTGTAAACTACTATTCTGGCTATTTTATGCATTACACTATAATTACTAAAAGATAATCAATTTAATAAAAGATGGGCAACAGCATTTTGCAAAAATCCAGCATAGTACATAGAAAAATGTTTAACTGTTGGGACACTGGACATAGTAAAAACACCACAAAAAAAACTTCATCAAAGTATGCAAGGTGGTGAATTCAGTACTACTCTTTTATATCGCTACATACCTCAATAGGGAATGTCTAAAAAAAGTTTCAAAAAAGGTCTGGCATTGCTGGGTATCTACACCTGCTATAAACGCTTAAATATTTATAGCAGCCGTTTTTAATGTAAGTTAGAGGAAGTTCGGACCCCCTCCTTCCCCTGCAGCCATCTGGGACAGTTCACAGATCTTAAGAGACTGCGGGACCATTTCACAAAGTGCAGAGAGCTTTGCGCATGTGCAGTATGAGACTGGCTGTGAAGCCAAAAGGCTTCACTGCTGGTTTCTCTTACTGAAGATGTCGGCACCTGCACCCAAAGTCAAATGAAGAATCGGCTCGGGTGAGGATAATGCTGGATCCCTGAACAGGTAAGTGTCCCTATATTAAAAGTCACCAGCTACAGTATTTGTAGCTATTGACTTAATTTTTTTTCTTGGGGGTGGGGGGGAGCCTGGAGCGCTGCTTTAAGGAAGGAAGGTAGCAGAAATGTAAAATTGCTCGTCCATAGGTAGGGGTTGTACAAGTGCGAGAACTGAATTGGGTAAAATCAGACTGCTAAAATCAGACGTTCTAGAAGTTCTGAATTTACAGTTACCTGGATAAATCTTATGACAAACGTATTTATTACAACTACTTATATAGCACTTTACATATATATTACATTCACATCAGTCCCCTAACCCTAACTCACATTCATACATACACATACTAGGGCCAATTTAGACAGGAGCCAATTACCCTACTAACATGTCTTTGGAATGTGGGAGGAAACCAGAGTCCCCTGAGGAAATCCACACAGGCACAGGGAGAACATGCAAACTGCAGGCAGGTGGTTAGAATTCGAACCAACGACCCTAGTGCTGCCAGGCAGAAGCGCTAACCATTTAGCCACTGTGCTGCCCCAAACTTTCATTGTGTCCTAAAAAATGTCTATGCACATTTTGCAGTTAATACTAAGCTTTAAAAATTGTGTGTGAATGTTTAACACCAATTGAAAATTACATGTATGAAGAGGGACACTGAATCTTTAAATTGTTAGTGTTACTTTGAAGAAATGAACTATCCAGTGCAGAGAAGTTCCTTTAATGAAAAGCAGGAAGAGAACAGTCAATGTTCTTTGAAGACTTCCCTACATACTTCTGGCTTTCACATGCTGCACAGAGCTACTAACCCCTGTAGCAATTAAATTCATTAAGCCAAAAACACCGTCTATGTGAGGCTCTGGTTTAGCAAATCTTCTAAAAATCTAGAGAGACCTTTTTTGTTTCAGTTTCAAGCATGTATGTATGTGAGTGACAACATGCATAAAACTATTGCCATTATTTTTTTACCTTCATATCGTCCAAGTTAGAGGGCAGGGGTCCTGCTTTTTTAAACGGCACACTGTTTTGCCTGCTCACTGTATTCTGTACTGAGGCGGTGTTGTTCGCATTGTTGGTTGCAACATTTCCATTGCTTGGTTTGTCATTCAAGGACCTTGAAAAAAAGGCAAATTCAAAATTTGAATTCTGATTTAGCACAATCTATTTAACATAATACTTGTGAATTTGAATGCAGAAGTACAAGATCAAGTTTGAAAAAAAAAAAAAAAAAAAAGGTCCAAATCAATACGACAGCCAATTATAACGTAGACACATCAAGTATCCAATCAAGGTGATTACAGTGACAAAGATTTACAATAATGAGTGCATCATCCAAACTACTTTAAATTTATTAAAATGAGATCTAGATCGTGGTCATACCATGTGGCTAGCAAGATTTTAATTGCATGCCATACATACAATTATTCTCTTTCATATTACCACAAATCTTTATGAAGCTACAAGTTCCCAACACAGACTTTTAAAACAAGAAAAAAATTTCAATAGAGTTCCATTTGTGTAAAGAGGGCTCTTTATAAGGAAAGGTATTGCCTTCACTGCATGGCCATGCACTGAATATCATGTAAAGAGCATGTCTTTAATTGAAGCCTTTTCCATAAACCCAATGTTGATGACTATGATAAACCTTTCCCTAAACTCAAGTCATCCAGGACCTCATGGTTTAAACACTTAAGTACACACGATGAGAAAATCGAACAAAAAAAAAATGTCAGAATGATCCCCTGATAATATGATCGTTCGTACACAGCTTTTGAGAGCCAAATCACTACAGCTCATCTGAAACTAATAGGAAGGGGAAAACAAGAAAAAAGTTCACATAAGAACAGAATGAATGATCTTTAAGGATTTAATCAGTACAGTACTGGTCTGTAAAAAAATTGCGTGACCAAGGCCATGCATGCTTGGAAACAAAAGAATACAATGCAATACAATACATGAAATGATCACAGGACATTGTATTCTGTCTTCTGAGAATTTTCGTAAGTCTAATAACCTAAAAAAAATGGACGATCATTCATCCGATATTCTCATTGTGTTTGTCACGCTTTTGTTGCAAGATGTTTGTGTATTAAAGAACATTTGACTTGAAGACAAGTATACAAAGACAGGTAGGTTCATCTACATTATAAAAAAAAAAACAAACCCCAAAACCAACCCCCCCCCAAACAAAACCCCACAGTCCTTGGATGCAGGTGTAACTCATAATTAAGGTAACCAAAGGCCTAAGATGACAGCCAACCACCCCTTATGTTTTTGGCAAGATCAAGCAAGCAAGGTCATGTAACTAACCTGCTGTAGGCTTTCTTGGGAAAAAAAATCGAACAGATTGGAAAACCTTTTTTAACTTTTTTTTCTAGATGGAAGTGGCCTGAAGCGTTTTCTTGAAAATGTAGTAAATTTTTAACTTTTGCACAGAGTGTGTACTGTCTTTACATTAGGAGTTTGCAACACAATTCCTATGTCTATTGAAGAAAAAAAAACACAACAGTCTGATCACCATAGTCAGTATTGAATATAACAGTGCAGCTTTGCCAAATGTGAAATGTCTCGTCTTGGATGTGTTCATTTTTATTCCTTTATGTAGATTAGAAAACCTTGTCTGCAATTTATTTTCCAGCCAATCAGCTAGGGCAGTGTTTCTCAACCTACTTCAAGCTAAGACACCCTTTAAAATGATGCACAATCTTAAGGCACCCCCCTCTAAAATGTAAAAAAAACTAAACCGTTTGACATATTATAGCAGCATCCAAACTTGTAGGACACCCCACATTAGAAGGGATTTATTTCTTTCAAAGCAAATATGATTTTACACACTGTTACTGACTAGCATTCCTTATGTTCTCTCCTTCATGCAGCTATGTGACCCCAGCGATGAATGAGGGAAAGGGTAAGAAATACAAAGATGCTATGCAAGTGCCCGTGTCCTCATCAATGAATGATGTCAGCGGTTGTTAGGGCACTGGTGGCTGGTTTGCACAGTGCTCAGGGTTGAAACGGGAAACAATTCAAATCTGTGGCTTTGAATTACAAAAAAAAATTCAGGCTTAATCCACCCAATAGGTGAAGGGGGGTGGAGCCAAGAATCTGACATCATCCTGTGGTCATGTTGATTATCAGCTGGATGCCGGCTGTAGGTTTATGAACTCCGAATCGGCACTAAGAAAGTGCTGCATCTTGTATGTGTATATTTTATTGTTAAGCAGGATAAAAATGTTTAAATGGAGAACACTAGGCTCTATTTTCTCTTGATATACTTTATATATTCACATACACGCGGTTTTTTTTTCTCTGCCAGCAGGATGTGTCTACATATGGCTTATATGTGAGGATAAGAGGTGAAAAAAGTCACGAGTGCCAGGAGATTTAACCCTTGATGGGGAAAGCTTTTTTTGACATTGGCAACACAGTGGTCATATTTCTGAGGTGAGCGACCAAAATATTGGTGGTGTAGACAAGACGAGCACTTTTTGACACAGGGTTTTTCACTTTTTGTCACAATGGTGACACTGAATAATTTTGGAGTTGGTTATATGATTAGTATTTGTAGACATATATACATTTGTTTTTGAGAAATATGCTGCAGATTGCGCTAGAGTACATATAGTTTTGGGTTACTGAAAAGTTTGGTGAAATCACTTGCAAGTGTTTAGCAGCAATCCGACATTTGTTGCACTTTGTTTAGGAGTAATTTGTCACTCAGTTGTTTCATTTTATCATATATTTGGATGCGCTAAATGTTACATTGTTTAGTTTAATCCATCCATTTTTGAGCAATTTGGGGCAGTTTTTAGGCATTTTGCCAAGGCATCCCTGAAGAACCCAAAAGGCACCCTAGTTGAAAAAGGCTGAGCTACGGTGACTGCAAAAGGTCATCTTTCAGACTACACTACACTTAGAAGTACAAGCTCCTTTTGACTATTCAGTTTTAGGACCACACCAAAGGACTCAGCAGGCCTGATGGCGAACATATTGCACGTGTAGAAATAGAAAAAATACGAGCGCTGGATAATCAACCAGAGAGCGGCTAGCATGAAAGGCAAATACCAGGAGCCTCAAAAGTAATATATATCCAACAACCATGCAGCGCTAATACGTATGCAAATAATCATTTGGTGCAGGTAATAACCAGTGAAGTGAACACCACTTAATATTAGAAAGGATCTTAAGAGTTATCTAAAAAGTCCAGGAATACTAATGATGATGAATATAAATCATTCAACAAGAGTGTTCTTGCGGTGCATAATACATAAAAAATTGACACAATATGTGACTTCTGTGACCATATTCCTCCCGCAGAAATGAGTGTAGATTGCACTAACCAGAGAGCGCAATCTTAATGCGCATTTGAGTGTTAACCAACTCCTGGTCATCCGGCTACTGCAAACTGGAACACAGAGTGGTCATCTGGCCTGCATCAGCTGGGCAAACATCACAACCTCAGGGACACCAGATATCAGAAGGCGTGTAGTCGTCTCACCACCGGGGGGAGTCTAACCAGTCCTGATGTGGCCACCAGATCATCCCAATAAGCCTTGAAGGAGGGGGGGGCTCGGAAGTAACGAGCCAAGACAATAGAAGATTCTGATAGTGTAGTACTTTAATTATCCACATTAGAACAGTAAACAAATAGCTGAAAATCTTACTCACATGTGTAGTGAGCAGCTGGTAGCAGGGAATTCCAAAATGGCCGCCGGCCGTCCACAGAGGCCATGCAGAGTGACGTCACAGGGTATACAGGCACCTAACGCGTTTCGTGCGATGGCACGTTATCAAAGGGCCCTTTGATAGGGCCCTTTGATAACCTGCCATCGCACAAAACGCGTTAGGGAGGTGTCTGTATACCTTGTGACGTCACTCTGCATGGCCCCTGTGGACGGACGGCGGCCATTTTGGAATTCCCTGCTACCAGCTGCTCACTACACATGTGAGTAAGATATTCAGATATTTGTTTACTGTTCTAATGTGGATAATTAAAGTACTACACTATCAGAATCTTCTATTGTCTTGGCTCGTTACTTCCGAGCCCCCCCCTCCTTCAAGGCTTATTGGGATGATCTGGTGGCCACATCAGGACTGGTTAGACTCCCCCCGGTGGTGAGACGACTACACGCCTTCTGATATCTGGTGTCCCTGAGGTTGTGATGTTTGCCCAGCTGATGCAGGCCAGATGACCACTCTGTGATCCAGTTCCAGTTTGCAGTAGCCGGATGACCAGGAGTTGGTTAACACTCAAATGTGCATTAAGATTGCGCTCTCTGGTTAGTGCAATCTACACTCATTTCTGCGGGAGGAATATGGTCACAGAAGTCACATATTGTGTCAATTTTTTATGTATTATGCACCGCAAGAACACTCTTGTTGAATGATTTATATTCATCATCATTAGTATTCCTGGACTTTTTAGATAACTCTTAAGATCCTTTCTAATATTAAGTGGTGTTCACTTCACTGGTTATTACCTGCAGCAAATGATTATTTGCATACGTATTAGCGCTGCATGGTTGTTGGATATATATTGCACATGTGTATTTGGCCACCCTCTAGTGTTATGATAAGACACTGGGGATAGATTGTTCTGAATTGGCAAGTGATAAAATGAGTATTTTATGAAAGTCCAAGCTGTTAATATAGCGGGTAAAGTATTGAACACGTCACCATTTTTCTCAGTAAATATATTTCTAAAGGTGCTATTGACATGAAATTTTCACCACCTTTCGGTAACAACCCGTGCAATCCATACATACAAAGAAATCAAAACAAATAGATTCAGAAATTAAGTTATGTGCAATAAAATGGAAATACACAGAAAAAGTATTAAACACATGAAGAAAGGGAGCTGCAAAAAAATGCATGGAAAGCCAAGACACAAGTTGAAATCTAACAGTAATTAGAAAGCAGTCCTGTCCCTTGTCAGTGCAAATTAAAATCAGCTGATTCAGTCTCAACTGATGGCCTATAAAAAGATGTCTCTTTACCAAGGTGTCACACAAGAAACATCTCATGATGGATAAAAGCAAAGAGCTCTCTCAAGACCTTTGCAACCTTATTGCTGTAAAACATACTGATGGCATTGGTTACAGAAGGATTTCTAAACTTCTGAATGTTCCAGTGAGCACTGTTGGGGGTCATAATCCGGAAGTGGAAAGAACATCATTTCATCAAAAACGGACCACGACAAGGTGCTCCTCACAAGATTTCTGATAGAGGAGTGAAAAGAATCAGAAAAGTTTTCCAAGAGCCAAGGACCACTTGTGGAGAGCTTCAGAAAGACCTGGAATTAGTAGGTACAATTGTTTCAAAGAAAACAATAAGTAATGCACTCACCTGCTATGTCCTGTATGCACGCTCACCACGCAGACTCCATTGCTGAAGAAAAAGCATGTTAAAGCTTGTTTAAAGTTTGCTGCACAACATTTAGACAAGCCTGTGAAGTACTGGGAGAATATAGTCTGGTCAGATGAGACCAAAATTGAACTCTTTGGATGCCATAATACATACCATGTTTGGAGGTCAAATGCCACTGCACATCACCCCAAAAACACTATACCATCAGTGACATTTGGAAGTGGGAAGATCATGGTGTGGGGCTGTTTTTCAGCATACAGTACTGGCAAACTTCATATAGTTGAAAGAAGGATGAATGGAAAAATGTACCAAGACATTCCTGATAAAAATCTGCTGCCATCTACCAGGATGATGAAGATGAAACGAGGGTGGACATTTCAGCAAGGCAATAATCCCAAACACAAAGCCAAGGAAACTCTTAACTGGTTTCAAAGAAAGAAAATAAAGCTGCTAGAATGGCCCAGCCAATCACCTGACTTGAATCCAATAGAAAATCTATGGAAAGAACTAAAGATCAGAGTTCATAGAAGAGGCCCACGAAATCTTCAAAAACTGAAGACTGTTTGTTTGGAAGGAAGAATGGGCCAAAATCATACCTGAGCAATGCATGCGACTAGTTCCTCCATACAGGAGGCATCTTGAAGCTGTCCTTACCAACAAAGGATTTTGTATGAAGTATTCAATACATTTCAGTTAGCGTGTTGAATACTTTTTACTTGTGTCATTCCGTTTTTTTGTTTTTTTTTTACACATAAAAAACTTAACATTTCTGAAATTATTTGTTTTTGTTTCTTTGTACATATGGATTGCATGGATTGTTACCGACATGTGGTGAAATTGTCATGTCAATAGAACCTTTAGAAATATATTTACAGAGACAAATGGTGACGTGTTCAATACTTTTTACCCGCTGTATATGTAAATCCATTCTTTTTAAAATAAGGGGGGAAAAAAACAAAAATGAAGACTTTCTGTCACCAAGTGCATAATGGTAGTAAATGCACACATTTTTTGATGCCACCATGATATATTTTCCATGAAAAGGAAATAAAAACAAGAGGGGCTAGCACTGTGACATACTTAAGTGGTGCAGGCAGGATTGTCTGATAATTGTAGTGTTGCTGTTGCTGGCTGAGGATCTGAAGCTGGAGAAAGAGTTGCTGTTGCTGTAGCAGACGTGCATAGTTGGAATCCATCTCTGGTTCATTTTTCTCCCCTTTCTGGTCAGGTGGAATATACTGGTGATATTTTAGCTTCTTTACCCGTGGTTTGGGTTCTTTTGACTTTTTACTGCGAGGTTTTTCATTTGCATTCTTCGGCTGGCTTTGCTGTATAGAAACCAAAATAACACAATGTAATTGCAGATCAACAACACATCTGCTAAAACCAATACATTAGCAGCACTCAACTAGCAATTATTCTCTATGTTCAGGCTCTGGTTATGTTTTGACACAGGCATCCCCTTACAGGCTCTGGTTATGTTTTGACACAGGCATCTCCTTACACTCATCATTTGGTATCTTAGAAAGTCTGTTTATAATATAAGTGGAATGGCCGAAATTAACTTTGCTATATGTAGAAGTACATTTGCCACAAGCAGTCATTTCACAGAACCATCTAATGAACAGACAACAATTACTTTGTATGCTCTTCTCCACACAGCTCAATAAAATAAATGCTTTTCACAAGTTATACATTTTACACCCACTGCAAACCTCAGTTACATAAAGTAATCAACCACTGAGTAATATTCGGATACACTGCATTACATAAGACATACAAAAATTGAACAATACAATTAAAATGGTATAGAAAGCAAATTAGCCATATTCAATGACATATTGACAATGTAATTCTCAGCAAATTAACATACTGAATTTTTTTCCTATTGTCTCACTGTTCTATTTAACATATTTCTTTCTTTATTATACCTTATTTAAAATAAATCATGTTCCTTATTTACATAAAGGATTTTTCAGAAAAAAATGTTCACTGCTTCAAACCCTGCCAGGTCTGACCACAGAGAGACCACCCCTCACATAGGCCCCTGATGAGCAACAGAAAGATATTCATCCCGCTGCTACTTACGTTGCTGAATGAATTCAGATGTTCAAAAAGACCAAGTGGCAGTGCTGTAATACTAAATGTAACCAGCAGCCTATCTGTAGGTAAAATGTAATATTATAGCTTCTGGTCTCAATGAAACTCTGCCTCTTACATTGTAGTAAATGAAATGTTCAGCAGTAAGCAGATCTGAAGAAAAGATAAGGTCCTCTTAACTATAAAACAAACAGTTACAACTGGACATTGTCCTGCTGCAGAATAAATTTGGGGCCAATCACATGCCTCCCTGACGATATGGATGTGGAAACAGGGCTAAGTGATTCAACTATGCATGAAAACATAGGAACTTGGGTGCAGAAAAATCGCAGCTGGTGCTCTAAGCTGAGGAGTCAAAAACTGAAATATCTGGCTGTAGCAACAAGCAGTTTGTTCAATGAGTGTCTGCGGGCAACAGTGAACCATGGTGGAGGTTTGTTGCAAGTTTGGGGCTGCATTTCTGGAAATGTTGTTGGAGATTTGGTCAGGATCAATGGTGACAAATACAGCAGATACTGATTCATCATGCCATACCATCAGTGGGCATTGTGAACGGTCCCAAATGCATTCTGCAGCAGTACAACGACCAGTGGTGTATTTAGGTTTCGTGCTGCCCTAGGCAACAAAGATCTCACACACGGAGAAACCCTGACACCGACCAACACCCCGCTTCCCCATGAAGAGTACCTGATATTGACCAACAACACCCCCGCCCACCACCTGAGAGAGCCTTCCACTACCACCACCCCCCCATACACTGGCAACTCCCCCCACCCCCGGCGAGAGAGAAGCATACACCATCAAGCAGCCCACAGCATCTCTCAGATCCCACCTGGTCCCCATGCTATGTGTGTCTCTTCTTCCATCCCTTCTTTAGGGAGGCGGCGCTGCCCCCCTGAAAGATGCCTCCCTAGGCAAATGCCTTGTTTGCCTTGTGGTAAAATACACCCCTGACAACAACCCAAAACATACAGCCAATGTCATTAAGAACTATCTTGAGTTTAAAGTCCTGAAAGTGATGGTTCCACAGAGCCCTGATCTCTACATCATGGAGTCTGTCTGGGATTGCATGAAGAGATGGAAGGATCTGAGGCAGCCTACACCCACAGAATATCTGTGGTTAGTTCAAGATGTTTGGAGCAATAACTGCTGTGAGCAAGTGTACCTAGAAGAATTGACGCTGTTTTGAAGGCAAACGATCATACTAAATTTTGATTTGGATTTCTCTTTTGTTCATTTACTTTCCATTTAGTTAGCGGATAAATATAGACTATTAACAGTTCTATTTCTGAAAGCATTCTTCATTTACAGCAATTTTTAACACCTGCCTAAAACTTTTGCACAGTACTATAAATGCTAAAAAATACTGCTGTTTCCGATCAACCAAAAATACTGCCAACATTTTCATTTGTCTGTTCCAAGGCTAGCTACAGGGAGTTGCACTGTAAAGTAAATAAATTCAATACAGTCCTTCATCCACAAGTAAGGAACAATAAAAAGTTCTTAAGTTGTTTCTTATGCATGGTACATGAGGCTCACAAAGAACATCGATGACAGCCAACTTTCAATAATGGTCATGTTTTCATAAAACACAAACTACTTGGCAGCACTGTGCTATGGAAATACACTATGCAGTCACCTATTATGTATACGTACATGAAAATTTCAATGAGAACAAATTATTCATTTTTCCATTACAAAATAAAAGGTGAAGATGGCAGCAACAAAACTTGTTCTTCTCTGCTTTAAAATAATTAGACCAAATTTCACAGAACAGTCCATTTTTCATGCTCATAAATCCTACAATAGGGATGGGAGTTTCCAGGGTACTGTCTGCTCCTCATTAAATAAGAAAGGTGCAAAAGCATACATGCAGAATTCTGAAACTGGGCACACTATTTAAAAAAAATTCAAACTGACCTTGGTTTCTGGCACTTTGGCTCCTGCATTACTGTCTACTGTGCATGCCTCATTTGGAAACAATTTGATGAAGATGCAAGCAAACCAATAGGGGGCTGATGCAAGCGTCATAACTTTGTTGCTCAAGTCTGGCTTTGCAAGACTCCAACAGGTATACATTTGATTCACCTGCATGTCCATGAACATTTCCAAGTCTTGGTATATTCCACTTATAATCATTCTATATTCAATGCAGAAATAGTTAAGCTTGCTTGCAAGTTTAAAGCCAGCCATAAATGGATTAATTCAGTAGGAACCGGCTGCATTTTGATCCAGGTATGGGTAGGAAGGTTGCATATAAATCAATCTACCAAATGATCTCTGTACAAACACCCTGTTGGATTTTCCCCGCCAGCGCTGATCAGTGTATTCTGGCGGCAAAGAAATCTCCGCTATCAAAATACAATAGCTCAGTGGTTAGGATTCCCCTCCCATCAACATCAAGTGTGTAATCGAGTTTTTTTTTGTTTTTTTTTAAATTCAGCCCCCTGGCTGGAAAAAAAAAATAATCTCTAACAGTAAGGTAAAATGTGCTGCTAGTTAAGGGGACTAATGTCAACAGAAGAGTGCAACAACAGCATGGAATTTATCTCTCTAAATCAAAGGCACTGAAGAGAAGTATTTATGGCTTTTCTTGGTGTGATGAGACAGACAGCTAAGGACAAACTTAGCAAAGTCAGCCTAGATTAGGTATTTTGTTACCATTTGAGAAAATATATTTAGACAGCGAATTTACCTTTACTAGTGCTGGTCCAGGTTTCAAGATTGCATTCGGTACAGTAGATCTTGTGACAGGCTCTCAGCGGTTGGAACGGGTTTTTAAAAAACTCAGGTACAGCTGAATTAATTACTGGGCTCTACATTGAAGAGGTAAAAAAAAAAAAAAAAAAAGAGGTTAGAAAATATTTAACTACTGTATATGCATACTTACATTGCACTATTTGTTTTCTTCCCTGAGATTTTCATTCTGTTGGGCAACTGAAAGATGCAGATCTTAGCATGCCAGTATTAACTGGTATCTAAACCTATAAAAATCAGTACTAATATAGTATTTTAAACAATTCTAATGCAATATCAAAAAAATCTGTATTTTATGATAAAAGGTTTGCCCAAGTTTTGCTGTGAGTGAACATAACTAGCTATATATATATATTTTTAAGATTTGGTTCATAAACCATTTAACCAACAAATTGAGCAGTGACTAAATGTGCTTGCAGGCACTAGAGGTTAAAGTGATTGTAAATTTATAAAAAAAATAAATAAATAAAAATTAAAACATACATGTCATACTTACCTGCTTTGTGCAATGCTTTTGCACGAAGCAGCCCTACTCCTCCTAGTTTCCTTCAACTAGTAACTGCAGTGATGTCTCTTTAGATAACTAAGTGCTCTAGAAATCTTTTGCCATGCATAAAAAGTGTATAAGTACAATAAAAGTTTTATACATATAGAAGAAAAATAGTTTAAAAAACCTAGATATTAAAAAGAACTATAAAATTTACCCCAAAGCACAGTTTACTTTTAAGTGCTGGGATCATCTACATTTCTTGCCCTACAGTGATAATGGTAATTAAGTAGGCACTGTTCCCAACTACTCTAATAGCAGGTGAAGTTCAAGGCTGCAGTTTACAGGTAGTCCATTAATGACAAGTGAAGGTTTTAAGCCTTAATACTTTCTCAAAATACTGATGCTTAACACACCTGTAGCATTAATGCAAATTGTTCATTGCGTTTGCTTCGCATTTAACACACATTAAAGGAGAGTTAAAAATGCTCCCCAAATGCCCTAGGTGCTTTTGACACAAGTTTGTCGAGCGTTAAAAATGTAGATGCCTAGGTTTTTTTCTTGGATGCTGTAAACAAGGCCTAACTCTCTGCAAGCATGCCGCAAACACAGCGTAAACTTGCTGCAAACACATGCCAGTGAGTTTATGGTGCGTTACCATAGACTTGAATAGAAGGAACGGAGAATGCTTCATCTCTTAGATCGTAAGCTCCAAGGAGCAGGGCCCTCCTAACCCTCTTATATTGATCTGTATTGTTGCTGTATTGTCTCCCATTATATTGAAAAGCGCTGAGCAAAACTGTTGGCACTATATAAATCCTGTATAATAACTCCTTCCAAACTCTACATGAAGCTTCATTTTTGAAGTGCAGCAATGCAAGCTCTTCAAGGTTTGATCATGTGAACAGCACTATGTGCTGTCCATAGTTTATGTTGTTCTAGACAAAAACAAGGGTTTAAAATGATTAAAACTTGTTGATAAGATTATTTACATCGTACAAGGATTCTAGCTTGCCTTTAAGAGAGGGCTGTGAATTAAGACTTTCCAAGAGACACATTCTATATAATTGATATGACCAAGTAGAACATGTATTGAACATAATTAATCACACTAAGATAACTACAATTTATTAAGCCTAAAGACAAAAAAACATTGTCTAAAGCATGAATAATATGCTGTGTTACTTTATTAAATGAATACACAGTGGGAGCAATTACGACATCTGGGTATTTCTGACCAATAGCTATTTTTCAGAAAGTGGATCAGGTTGTAAGACCTGTCTCTACAAACAAATGAAGCCAGAGAATCCTCTAATACAGATACCAGAACAACTTACAGAATTGTATTCTCAATCATATTTTACTATAATAGTATCAATTTCAAATTATATAACATACTTTGCCCTGTAAATATAATTCTGATGTACACTGTAACAATGCAACGACTAGCACAGCAATAGCATGTGACAATGGTGACTCCACGAGTGTCCACTTACATGAAAATACATTTTTTGCACTGGGTTCTTAATTTGCATGTAGGGTATGTGCACATACTATAACCTCACGGAAATGATCAAAAGGCTGGCTCAGTAGCTGCTCATTTGTGGAACTCGCTGTAAGGAAAATGTTCACAAACCTGCCTCAGAATGTAGGAGCCGAATGTTTATTGGACACCGATGACATCTGCCGGTCTGACAGGCCATTCAGTCAGAAATAGACTAAAAGCTGTCCACACAGAGGTGAGGCCAGTTTCCTCACGCCAAGCTTACAGTTATAGTGGACTACTGACTGCCAGACATGCCTTCATGTGGTCAAATAATGCATGCACCATCTACTGCTCTCACCTATAAACGTAGACATGAGATATCCCATATCTAGCAGCAGGTACCATTGACTTTCAAATCTCAGGGATAATGATCAGAGATTCTAGGAAAATCTTACCAAATTGTTTCTTCTAACAATAGTTGTTCCCTTACCTTTGATTTATAGCATATGTATGCATGCTGACCCAAATGTGATTAAATATGCTCTTTTAAGTATTGAATTATGGTTTTATGTCTCACTGCCCTCTAAACAACAGTCTTTGGGCACACTGCAACTGTTAATCTCTAGTGAGGTAAAAAAAATACCACATATTAAAAGACAAACATCAAAAATGTACCAAATAAAATTAAAGTGGACATCGAGGGGTGTTTTTAGAAAAACAAACTCACATAGTTGTTGGCCCATTGAACCAGCTGGTTGTGTTCTGTGCAAATGAGGCAAAACAATGTTCTCAAGCTATATTCTTCACAGTTTGAATGTGTGAATACAGAAAATACTGCATTATGGCCACCAGATTGAGATGAGGAGCATACTTCTTTAATATGATAAAATATTCCCATGCAGTCAAGAGAAGTAGATATGGTGGCATTACTTTTCAATGAAACTTTATATATAGGTGCATACCCTGAGCAACATTTCCTAATCTAGGATGGAAGTCTACACTGCTTCCATGGAAATCTCTCCTTACACGGTTGCTGTGCTTTCAGAACATTCAGTAACCTTCTACTACCAGTGAATATCAGTGGAAAATTCTCAACACACAGCAATGACTTATGGAGTCTTAACTTGCCTAAGGAAAACTTTGTTATGGGAAAACAATAGGGATGCAATTGCAGCAAAGGTTCCTGCCAAGAAAAGGAACATCACTTATTTCATCTTACAACTAAAATAGCACATTCGTTGAAGAGAGCCGTCACTATGAACAGCTTCTACTTTAGGACAGGCAATTGAATGAAATAACCTTCTACTCATGCACAGTTAGGCTAAGTTCACACTAGCTTTGTTAGCAGGCATTAGGCATTTGGGAAGCGTTTTTAAAGCTCCTCAAACGCCTATGAAATTCTACACATGGCAGCACACAGTGCTGTTCACACTGAAGCGTTAGCATTGCGGCAAAATTTACTTCTCATGTCGGGTCAGGAGGAATTGAGGCCTCCCATTCAAGTCTATGGTGACGCTCCTCAAATGGCGTAGGCATTTGCGGAGCGTTAATATTAAACTTCATTATAGGCGTTTGTGGTGCGGTTTTAACCCTTGGCAAACACCTATCAAATGCCTCAAAAATACGCATAGGGCGTTTGGGGAGTGTTAAAACGCTTCCTAAAAGTCTGTCTAACGCCTGTCAAATGCTATAGGGGTGTTTGGCAAGAGTTAGAAAGTAGTCAAATGTGAAGAAGCCCTAAGAGGCAACATAATAGAATGACAATTAACAGATGTTATGAGTTCAGTTGTGACACTTATGACATTTTAATTCCTGAAAGCAATAAAATGGCTCGATTATTCCGGGGAAAAATTAAGGTCAACTGTTTATGAAGTTGTGAATGGTAAGCTTCCGCTTTCAATCAGTGCTCCTTTCTGGAACTCTTTGTGCATCCTTATAAGCATTGGTATTTGGATTTGTATACTTATTAATGTGTCTGGAGTTTTTTTTCTTGCACTCCGGTCTCTGTAACATCAGAACATTACAAGTTATGCATTTCAATTACTTGTACTGCAGCTGGAGAATTGTATGCAAGCTTAAAGTGGAAGTCCAGGCTGTTCCCAACTATGCTTAAAAATTATTATTTAGACTAATTTCCCTGTACCTGTGGTCATTGGGACAGAGGAAGTGATTCTCGATGACCACCAAATCTTTGGGATGTAGATGCTTGTTCATTATTTCTCCCAGAAATGGTGGGGCATTTTTTCCTCCAAGAGGCTGCCAACAATAAGGTATTTTTCCTCTTAGGCTCAATTCACACTTGCAAATGGGGCCATTAGCAATTAGATACAGGAGACGCAGCAGGGGTTCCCTGTGATTGGCTGCAGGCAAGACCAACATTGAAAGCAAATGGAGGCTTACAACTCTGGCAGCAAATCGTGGCCACTCGCAAGTAATCGCTCAAGGAGTGATTGGCTGAGAATGGGCGGCCCTGGACAGGCAATCTGTATACAGGGCTGATCATTCACAGGTAATCGTTCCATGGCCTTAAGGACCACAGATGGTTGGGGAATTTTTACTCCCACTGACCACAGGGCATTTTCTTTCCTTCCACTGACCATGGACAGCAGGCTTTTTTGCTCATACCAACAGCAGGGCATTTTTTCTTTCCAGTGAAATTGGTCCCAAGACATTTTTACTCAGCATCAATGCCATGACATATTCCCTTTACTTTTAATGCAAGGATATTTTTTTCCCCCTCACTGATCGCTGAAACCAGGACATTTATTCTCTACACTCATTCACTTCCTGTGCTTCTGCTTTGGATTTACATTAGCAATAAACAGGCTGACAGGCATCCAACTTAAGAGAGAGGGCAGCAGGTGAGGTGAGCTGAGCTGCTGAAATTAGTTTCTGCAGTAACAGAGGACAAATTACTCCACAGTGCCTGCTGCTACAGAGCTCAATGAAGGTTTATCCTAAAGCTTATTTATTGTTTGTAAAGATGATGCAAATATTTTAGTGTCCATAGCATGGTAATGGTTCTACTTTCACGTAAAGAACATGTAATCTATTGAAAAACACTCTTTATACAGACTGTATAAATTTCCATGAAGCAATTAGGAAGCTCACACACTGCATCCTGCTTGGACAGTGTTCTGTATCAAACTGCAAACACTCACGGGCAATTAAAGGATAAGTTCACCTTTCAACCATATTCAGGGTGTAACATGTTATGGTCACACCAGCCCCCACTCCCTGCTGTGACAGTTAATGGAGGATCTTCTCCCCCCTCGCTAGCTGTCAAGTTAAAAAAAAAAAAAAAAAAAAAGACGTGGCCGTGCGTGGCTCTGCCCCACAGTGCTGTGGTAGTTCATTGAGCCTTCCGGTCAGTAGTATCTGTTTGCTGGTACAAGATGTATGAGCAAGTAAACATACTGACAGGTCAGGGGGAGACCTGCATTGCACCAGCGATCTGCTGATTGCTTGTGCAATGCTTTAGAGGCTCCACAAACAAAAATAAATGCACATTTTTTTACCTGCACAAAAATGTGCATTTATTATGTTTTGTTAAAAGGTGAACTTATCCTTTAAAGCTGAACTCCAGATATTAATAAGCAGATATTAGGTATATGCAGGTATTTAAATACAAGAGCCATGCGTATTCTTCCTTGAATCTTGTGTGCTTTGTGTATTTCTTCCAGATCTGTGCAGTAAACCAGTGTGTGTAGGAGCTCGTGCCAGAAATCTGTAATAAAGACCGGTCACTGCTGCTGACGTTGCTCTCTACAGGGTGATTGTTTTTCTCTCTACCCCTCCTGTAGTTTCCTGAATTTAGCTTGTAGTGGGTGGAGACTGAGGAGTCTCTCATAGCTTTGCTCACTGCACACACTATGTACAGCATGCAGTGATGTCACGGTTACTCTTACAAGAAGTGATATCTGGGTTTGCAAGACATTTGACACAGAGTTGTGGAGTGTTTTATATCCTGTTTCGTACGCTATTGAAGAACAAATATGAAAAGAACACCTTGCCTTTGAATGAAATGCTTTGGGGTGTTTTTTGTGCCCAGAGTTCAGCTTTGGAAACGTGATGTGCATAACTTTGGCCACCAGAAATCTGCAATTCCGCATACAGGATTCAGTCAAGACATACAAAAACTAAAAGTAAAATACTTGTGACTAGTCAAAACATTGAATAAAACTGGTTGAGGTATCACTTTGTTATAAACAGTGTGTAAAAACAACATACCAGAATTTTTGTTGTGTTGGATATGGGAGAAGCTGACTCAGCTAGCTTTGACCTCTCCAGGAGGAACTTTGCAGTGCAGAAGCTGACTCGCTAGCTTTGACCTCTCCAGGAGAAGCAGCAGATCCCTGAGATTCTTGGCTTGCTGGCTGCTCTGGTGATAAAGCATCACTGCTGTCCTCATCAAATGAAAAAGCATCTGTGTTTTCTGGGAAGTTATTCTGACCTGTTAATGGAAACAAAACATTCACTATACCTGAAATAGTGGTTTAAAAAACATTTTTTTTTTCGTTGCCCCACACTGTTTTCCTTGATTCTTCGCATTAGAAACTTACTGACCCTGATCAACCTTTAACAACATGAAACTGTACACTACTGACAACTCTGCAAGCTCAAAACAGTAAGCTGGCCCTACAAACAGGCAACATTTGAGGAAGTGTTGAAGTGAGAAAGGATTAAATATATATAGTGTTTTACTGTTTTCTGTGCCCTCCACAGGAGTTTTTTTTTCTGGGTACAACCAGCAGGTTTAAATGGGGGGTAGGGGGGGCTGGGACTCAATTTCCCTATCCATCCACTTGATGTGGATGGGGGGAACCCACCCCGGTGAGTTAGTGTATTCTGACAGCGGAGACTGCCCATACATGGATTGAAATTTGGCTGGTCCCTGCTGAACCAGCCAAATTTTCGATCCATACATGGCCAACTTTAGGTAGATTTCCCACCACTACCTGCCCAAGTTACAAGTAAGAATTTTCTTAGTACCAAGCACGAAAGAAAATAACTTAAGAGTTCACAAGCCTTCACTAATAAAAGTTCTATTAGGTGCTGTCTGTGAAAAAAGTTTCCAGACACTGGACATGTATAACCTAGTAAAATGCCAGTATACTGTAATTACATTATGCATGGTATTTATTCTGTGCAGACACATTTGGCTGCTGCTTATTTTTAAATTGTGCCTGGTTAGTCATTTCCACCATCTCGTACAACCTTATTTCAATAAGCTGATCAGCTCAGAGACCATATCCTCCAAAGTAGGTACAGAAACCACAAAAACACACTGGGTAATGCCTGTATGGTCTAAAATTTTATTTTTCACTCCAAGCACTACAAGCTTTCATCCCACTAACTCAATGCAATGAAAATGATTCTAACCATTTGATTGGACTGCACATTTTCACAAAGGCAATTTCTTTTTTCTTTTTTAAATACATGCCTTTAATTGCTTCTTTAACACTGGAGTCGACTGGGAGTATATTCTTTTCAACCAACTCCATTGGTCCAGGTCTCTGAGCAATCTTTTCATTGAGATCATCTGCCAGACGTGCTCTCTTCAATTTCATCTGAGTTGCCTGCAAGGATGGCTCAGCAAGTGTTTCTACATGAAAGAAAGAAAATGCTGTCACATTTTCCACTATATATGATTAGTGTTGCTTTTGTTGCAAGTATTTTTAGTCAGTAACAACCTGTAGAAAAAACTAAATGTTTTCTTCATAATTAACTCGAAAGTATTCACCTTTTGTTCTTCCCAAAAGTTGTGTTAAGACTGGGCTCCTAAGATTGAAATAATAATTTATACTAGTTTTAGGATTTAAGAATAATTTAATGGGATGTGTGTGGAAAATTTAGACTTCAGCAGAGAACACTAAACCCCAGGTAATGTCTACTGGCTGCTGTGGATTCTGGCAGTCACCAGGCTACTGCTTCCTGAGATAACACTGGTATTAGATGGTCTGCTGAGTGACTAAGGCCGCCCATAGATAGAACAAATCTTGGCTGGATCAGCATGGACCGGCTGAGATTCGATTTATCCATGGGCAGGCTGGTCGTACTGAAGCCGATCCATTGATCCACCTGGCAGAACACAACAGCTTTGCAGAAGGAATTCTCCCCTCAACAATGATTGTGTTGATGGGGGAATCAAGCAGTTTTCTTTCCTGGAAAGAAAGAAAATGGGCTGCTTAAAGCTGGATACACACATACCCACAAGTGATGCTGATGTGGGGATCTCTCCGGCTGAGATTGACTTGCCACTTTCTTGCCAAAATACACCGATCAGCACCATCGGCTGCAAGCACTGATCAAATGCTGGTTTTCCAGCATGACTGGTGGACAAGACAGCTGTATGCATAGAAGGAAAGTCAGCAGATTCCTGCTATCCACACTGAGCTGCAATCTATTAAAACAAATAATATAGGATTACATATAATAAACTGCAAATAAGTGTGGATATAATACATAGCAACCAGGAAGTAGCCCTCATCAATTTCATAGTAGGCAGAGTTGAGGTCCAATTGTCTGTTATGGGTTAATGCATCTGTTCTTCTTTGTACCATATTATATGACTTTTTATGTATATATTTAAGAACTCTTTCCACTCTGCAGAATGGTAAAAAACAGAAGTCTATCTTTAATTGGTTTATGTTAATTTACTACAGAATGCAAACTGTCAGTAAGGAAAGAATACCTTACTGCTGTTAGATTACTTTAATTCAACATTTGTTTTTAGTCATTTCCATAGAAATGCATAATAACTAATTATTTCTATGGTCTTGCTGGTCTCTCCAGATTCTTTGTGTAACACTATACAACAGAGTAGAGAGTACACTGGTCTTGTGTGATATCTTTAAAAAAAAACATAAAAAATGTTTATCTTCTACTCGCAAAATATACTTGGCAAAAGTGCATATAACACAAAATCCATCGGAAGTAAGACTCGTTCAATCCACTGGATACGGGTGACCAACTGTCAAACCCATTCAGCATCATACAGTATAGTAACTGCCTCTCAGAGCTCTAAGGAAGAGGACGCACCCTTGAAATGCGTAAGCCATGATGAAAGTTTGAGGCACCGACTGTGTTGCTCTATAGCAGGGCTACTGAATTAAAATTCATGGAGGCTTGGTTGGTAACATTTTCTTTCTGTAGAGGTTCGAAACTCATTTTTCTTCTATTACTCAGGTCTTTCGCTTTACAGTCCCCTTTGCATTAATATCCTCAATCCCCCCTTTACCATCAGAGCCCCCCCATACATCACAACTCCCTTTCACATCAGAGCCCCCCAACATTATAGCCCTGCTTCCATCACAGCCCCCCCTTCACATCACAGTCCCTCTTACAATCACAATCCCCAAGATCACAGCTCCCCCTCTCCTGACATCACAGACCCTTCATATCACAGCGCTCCCTCCACTCACATCACAATCCCCCATATACAGCTCTCCTCACATCACAGCCCCCCATATCACAGCTCTCCTCACATCTCAGCCTCCCAGTATTATAGCTCCCCCCTCTCAAATCATAACTCCCTCCTATCACATCTCCTCCCCCCCATATCACAACCCCTTCCCCCCCCCCATTTCACAGCTCCCCTCTCTCACTTCCCCCCCCCCCCCATTTCACAGCTCCCCTCTCTCGCTTCACAGCCCCCCATATCACAGCTCCCCCCCCTCGCTTCACCCCATATCACAGCTCCCCCCCTCACAGCTACCCAAACTCAGATTCCCCCTCTGATATCACAGCCCCCTCTACCGCATAATCTTCCCCATACCTTAACACATTGGGGAGGGAGAAATGGTGAGGTAGACTCCTGTTCTATATGTACTCATCTGCCACCGCCATCGTCGCTGCTGCTTTTGAAATCACAGCAGGGAAGACGGCAGGACTCTTCTGAATGCACTGGCTTGCCGTCGCCAAAGCTGAACTCAGAGCAGGGAGGAGGGCGGGAGGAACGGAAGGACGGACCTCTCTTCTGAATATACCAGCTTGCTGCCGCTGAACTCAGAGCAGGGAGGACGGGTGGCATAGAAGGCTTCCAATGAGGGTGGGAGCTGCCCACCTCTTCCTGGTAAAAAAGCAAGTGACCCGCATGAAAGGTTGGCTCCCCTTCCCCACTCCCCTGTAGACCTACAGTATTTCCCACCCTCCTCCTTGCTTTGAGTTCAGCAGCAGCAAGCCGGTACATTCAGATGAGTCCTTCCTTCCATTCCTCCTGCCCTCTTCCCTGCTGAAATTCAACAGCAGCAGCAGTCACGATGGCCATGGCAGAAGAGTGCATACAGAACAGGAGTCCACCCTGCCATTCCTACCGATTACTAACAGCTGCAGCAGCGGGAGGAGAGGCGTCCAATCAGGCTGTTAAGTGGTGTGGCCGTGGTCCAGTCCATTTAGTGATACCTGGTAGGTTTGACAGTTGGTCACCTGTATCCAGTGGATTCAGCAAGTCTGAAAAGGAATAGATTTTGTGTTATTTTCACTTTTACTAAGCAGCTTTTATTAGTAAAAGGGCTTTTGCACACAAGTGGCAGAGCTTGTTCAATGTAATTAATGTACTTTTGAAAAAAATTTCAAGTTTTTTTTTTTTTAAAGCAGTGCTATCATAAATACAATTTAAAAAAAAATAGAAAACTTTTTGGAGCTAGAGACAGAAATTCAGCATCCCCCACACTGACGAGTGAGAGAAGGGCTTAGATCTGGACTGCAGGTTTGGGGGCTCAGGTCTTCTGGCGTAAATGAGTTTAAGCTTGGACTTGGACCAGAAGACAGAGAAAAAAAAAAACAACTTTTTGTTTCAGGACCAGATATTTTACACATTGGAGTTTTTGTTTTGTTTTTTTCTGAGACAAAATGGACTCTTTTCCTCTTGATTTCTTTGAGAACTTGTCAAAAAAAAAAAAATCATCTGCATGAGACATTTCCAGCATGGAATCTCCACAAGCAATGTTTAAGCCAAAAGATACTCAGCATATGTACCAAAAGAAGACCCATTCTAGATACTTGGCAAATGGTTTCTGCAAGCCTATAGACACCATTGTGTAGGGCCACAGGCAAGAGCTCCAGTTATTGGAGAACAAAAAGGATTTCTTAGTAAAGAACAACTGAGCCATGGCCTTAGACCAGGCAGCTTAAGTCTGGCAGGTGGATGTGGTCACAACAGCTGGTTGTACAGCCTGCAAGGGAGAACAAAGCCTTACTTAGGGCTTCTAGTCCTTTATCCACTGGGTCCTTGAACACTTAGAATGTCCTCTACAGGGGATCCGTAAAGTGGTATTAGACTTAGGAGCAAAGATTTATTATATTGCACCTGACCAAGACTTAGATGTGGTGGCTGCATTAGTTTTAGTTTTTAAGCTCTCTTTTCTTTATTTTCACCTGGAGATCTAGCTCAGTGTTTCTCCACCTTTTTCCAGTCAAGATACCCTTTATAAGTCTGGACAACCTGGAGCACCCCATTCTAAAATGTAAAAAACTAAACTAATAATTTCACATACTGGAGCAGCATAAACACCTGTAAAGCACCCAACATAAGAAGTGATCTAATCTTTCAAAGCAAATACACTTTTGCACACTGATAATCCAGCATTTCATCTCCTTCATTTTCTCTCCCCCATGCAGCTAACATGACAACAGTGCTGACAGAGGGGTGGGGGCATCAAACAAGACTGCTGTGCAGGGGCCAGTCATCTTCCTTATTAACCAATGATGTCACTGGTTGTTAGGACACTGGCCTGCACAGCGCCTGAGGTTGTAATGTGACAATGAAAACCTGTGACTTTGTGTAACAAAGAAGCAGGCTTGATCCATCCGATGCCTTGTACACAATTTTTAGCCAATCTGCGTCAATTCTCAGGCATTTTGCCAAGTCATACCTTTAATACCCAGAAGGCACCCAGGTTAAATAGGGCTGATCTAGCCAGTAACGTGGTTGTTTTTCAACAGAATAAGCTGTCCTGCAGATGTAGCCATTTGAAGGTCAAGACAAACCATTTATCACTGATGGGTGCTTACAATGAACAGCTTATATCAATTAATGTAAAACCTTTAACCAAAAAAAAAACAAAAAAAACACAACCTGTTGCTGTAACGGCTTATAAAGTGTTAGCTGGCGTTTGGCTTCAATTTGTTAGTGTATCGAAATTTGTTATTATATAGAAATATGTTAGTATACTCCGCTCCTCCCTGACTGACAATGCTGCTGTTCAAAGGTGTCTCTTGTTGCTCCTTCATTCAGAGTGGGGGCACTCTAATACAGAAGTTGTGTTAAATGGCCAGATCACCAGGTGAAAAACAAGGAAGGGAAAAAAGCCCTAAAAAAAGAAAGAAAGAAAAAAAAAAAAGAATGCAGCCACCACATCTAATTGGTAAGCTGCAATATATACAATTTTTGGTACTGGGTTTAATAGTGCTTTATGTTACTGTAAAAACAGGAAAATGGCTGGCTCAACAGAAGAGCCTGTTTCTTTAGGAACCCTTCAATAGGATATTTATGGACAAAACACTTGGCAGGGGAATAGATCTTTATAGGATAAAGTCAGCAACAGTACAAGACAGGCTGTAAAGCAGGTGTACAGCCTTGGTGGTTGTTATACTACCATCATATAAACAAACCCTTGGCTATCTGGGGTTGTTTTAATAATTATTTTCAGTTTCAATATTTTCATTGGAAACTTCCATTAAAAATGACCATAATAGGCACAACAGCATGGGTCAAATATGGGAACAGGTGACAATCCGCAATGCAGGTGGAGTTTGCTACTGGCAAACAAATAAGAATAATGACATGTAACTGCAATTTTACATAAACCACCATTTAGCTGGTGGTTATTGGGCTGCCCAGGTTTTCTGATGCAAAGCAGTGCCTGAGTAACAGATAAAGAAGAAGAATGAAACAAATATTGTGAGCATTCTCCAGTTGAGGAGAACATGTCCCAAGCAGAAAAAAAAAAAAAAAAAAATGGCCATTAAGGCTCAGAAAACCTGGTCAGCCCCAAAAACCACCACCTCAATGGATGTTTAACATCTTGCAGAAATGGGGGGAAAAGAGCTACAGTCTGCCCCACTGCTCCTCCTAGTTGCCAGCACAAAAACGATCATGAAGGAGACTGAATATATATATTGCACAGTGCTTGAAAAGGTATTTATATCCCTTGAATTTTCCACATTTTGTCATGTTACAACCAAAAACGTAATGTATTTTCTTGGGATTTTATGTGATAGACAAACAAAGTGGCACATAATTGTGAAGTGGAAGGAAAATGTTAAATGTCAAAATTTCTTACAAATAAATAATAAAAGTGTGGCATGTATTTGTATTCAGCCCCCTTTAATTGAGTCCACCTGTGTGTAATTTAATCTCAGAATAAACAATGCTGTTCTGTTAAGCCCTCAGAGGTTTGGTAGAGAACATTAGTGAATAAAAAGCATCATAAAGGCCAAGGAACACACCACACAGGTCAGGGATAAAGTTGTGGAGACATTTAAAGCAGGTTATGGAGCATTGTTCAATCATCCGGGAAAAAAAAAAAAAGTATGGCATAACTGCAAACCTACCAAGATATGGCTGTCCACCTAAACGGACAAGCCGAGCAAAGGGGAATTAATCAGAGAAGCAGCCAAGAGGCTAAAGGTAAATCTGGAGGAGCTGCATAAATCCACAGCTCAGGTGGGAAAATCTGTCTACAGGACAACAATTAGTCATGCACTCCACAAATCTGGCCACAAAAGTGGCAAGAAGAAAGCCATTGTTGAAAGAAAGTCATAAGAAGTCCAGTTTGCAAGAAGCTATGTGGGGAACACAGCAAACATGTGGAAGAAGGTGCTCTGGTCAGATGAGACCAAAATTGAACATTTTGACCTAAAAGCAAAATGCTATGTGTGGTGAAAAATTAACACTGCACATCACCCTGAACACACCATCCCCACTGTGAAACATGGTGATGGCGGCATCATGTTGTGGGGATGCTTTTCTTTAGCAGGGACAGGGAAGCTGGTGAGAGTTGATGGGAAGATGGAATGGAGCCAAATACAGGGCAATCTTAGAAGATAACCTGTTAGAGTCTGCAAAAGACTTGAGCGGAGGTTCACCTTCCAGCAGGACAACGACCCTAAACATACAGCCAGAGCTACAATAGAATGGTTTAGATCAAAGCATATTCATGTGATAACGTGGCCCTGACCTAAACCCAATTGAGAAACTGTGGCAAGACTTGAAAATTGCTCTTCACAGACGCTCTGCATCCAATCTGACAGAGCTCAAGCTAATTTTGCAAAGAAAAATGGGCAAAAATGTCACTCTCTAGATCATTTTCCTTCCACTTCACAATTATGCGCCACTTTGTGTTGGTCTATCACATAAAATCCCAATAAAATACATTTATGTTTTTTGGTTGTAACATGACAAAATGTGGAAAATTTCAAGGGGTATGAATACTTTTTCAAGGCACTGTATCCATGGATTATAAGAATTCAAATCGCAGGGAGGTATCTTGTAGGATACTAACCAACTTTTCATTGGTCATGACCCAGATAAACTTATGCCTCATCCCCACTAGGTCAACTGTGGGTTTCTTTCAAGTGGTTGCAATGCCTATCTTGGTTGTAAGGAACATAAAATAAATCAAAGTTTGAGTGTGTCTGTGCACCTCAGCTACAGGTTAAGCGAAGAAGGATACCTTGGGATCCTTTACGTTTACCAAGGTAACCGAGTATATATGCTTGTGAACTCTTATCCAGAAGCACTTGTCTTTACTACACAACTACCATGTGTGAAACATCGAAATCACTTGGCCACAGATCCGAAAACAGAGTGAGGAAGAATCCGGGTACATTTTGGGGAGGCATTCAGGTACTACGTACCAACAAAACAGGACTTTAAAGCCCGTCCTCTACCAGACAAATATTAACTCCTTTGTATGTTCTGGTTAACCAATCTTTCTCATCAATTTCCATCCCTAAACCCCTTTCCTAAGTCAGCATATAGGATAATTCGCCCATGGTACTGGCAAAGTGTTTATACAGCTCAGAAATGCCGCCCCTCTGATTCTCATCATGATAGCATCTGTTTTCAAAAGCCGTCTGCGTTGAAATAACAGCAGTAGAACATTGCACAGGTGGGACAAACTTCTATGGGCGATAAAATGACCAATGCGATAAAGGTCTTTATTCAGCCACTATTGGAACTCTTGAGGGTGTAGGCCAGGTGAAAATGCAGCATTGTGGGAAAACAGGCACAACAGGAGCATGGGGAGACTAGAGAGAGGCAAATTAACAGGTTAAGTCTCACAAATATAAAGAATGGGATAGGGCAGAATATCACCCGCAGGATTCTCGAGGGAATCCGCATCTAGAGATCGATGGGCTGCGGTGCACAGGCTTGGGCCTCCAGCACACTATCCGAAATAAAAAAATATTTTATCAGTTATTTTTTACAACACAGGCTAATTACTATGTGTAAGAGCTTCATCTCTGTTTCTGGATTTTCGGTAACCCATATTCACATTGTTCTGGCTTATAAATACATATGGTTGTGCACACAAAAAAGCATTATTAGACTGGCTGTAATGCTTGCTGTTATCTACTATGCTACCAGGAACAATTTAGAAGATTATTAATACAATCAGTCATTCAGTGACTCATCAGAATGCCAGTGTTTCCCCCACTGCTTGTAACTTGCTGCTTAATCTCATTATTTCTATACATTAGCAAAACTGAAAACAAAGAATGCCATCTGTACAATCCTTCCACAATAGCAGAGGCCATGGGGATGCTAAGCTCCTACATAATACTACAGGCAAACGAAGCTGAAAGCACCAACTTGTTATTGGTTAGACTAGAGTAATGCATTTCTATTTTAGTTTCAATTCTGCCAAGAAGCAACAAGTGAACACGAGTCCAATGTGTGCTTTGGCCAACTCAAGAGACTAAAACCGCAAGCTTTTGAAATGGTTTGTCAGGTGTGATATGCCTGACAAAAGTTTTAGAATGTTCGAAAAGCTTGCATTTTCATTCTGTCGTTCAAATAATATTATTACATGCCATAGTACAGCATTCCTCCCAATTAACATCCTTTAAAGCCTCCTGGGTGGCCACATTGGCTCCTTCCATAGTGAAGGCATAAGTGTAGCCAACCAGGGACAGCATGGGTTATTCACAGGACTACCAAGTGAAAATAAAGGAGAAAGGGAAATTAATGCAGCCATCACATGAGAATTCGTAAACTGATAATAGATGCTGTAATTTTCAATGGGGGGGTGGTGGTTCGCAGGCCAATTACTGCACCTATGTTGTCATGCAGGGCCAAAATTACTTCTAATCATGAAAAGAAACTTCTTGAAATTAAACATGTCGTGTAACTTCTGCTCTGAAACTGTACACACAGCTTTTATATCACAAAAATATTGCATAATATAGTAAACCATAAGTACAAATAAAGGTGATGCCTACAATCATGTCCACTGCTGGAAATTTGTCAAGTAGACTGGAGCATGAAGAGGGTGGAGAACTACTGGCCTAGTGCACTCAGACAAGTCTGCTGACAAGTACTCAGCAAACAGGTCACACCCAAGTATGTCCCAAAGTTTGTTTACATAGCACAGTAGCAGAAAAATGATGCCAGGAAAGGTAAAGCAGTTCTATGTTTTCAGAATACAGCTACAAATAGTGATCACTGGCATATTTCCTTCTCCATCTTTATGGGTAGCAGTAAACACCCCTGAGTGATCATTTCTGGTGGGGTGGTGGGAAGGCAGTTAGGTAGATTTCAGGTGATCAATAATGTTTTCTTTAGATAAAGCTTGCTAGCTTTTCTCTCACCTCTTTCCTCTATTCTGTGTAACACAAATGTGAACAATAATCAAAGAAACATTTAGGCTCCATTCACACTATGCTTTTTCAAATCTCGGAAGGAATCGCGTAAAAGTGTGTAAATGCACAATTGCATTCATTTCAATGGCACCTAAAAATGCAGGGCATTTTTGCTGCGATCACATTGCGGTTTTTAGCACAGCAAACATGCCGCGATTGCGCAAACAAAATTGCGAGATGCGTGATGTCCAAAAAAGGTTCCGGAACCTTTTTTTGAAATCACATACTGTGAATGGAGCCTTAAAGAAACTGTCAGTCAGTACACCCTACAACCAATGTCTCACAAGGACTGGTGTAACTAGCTTTGTTCATACATATCACATTTACACTATTATTTGGTAATTTACAAACTATGCATTAACATGACCGTTACCTTCTAAAATGTGCATCCTTACTAATTCAGATCTATCTGGCCGGCTTCGAATCTTGTGCTTTAGGAAATTTTCAGTCTGTTCATGGGAAAAAATAAAAGTGGAATTTATGCAACACAGAGAAGTATTTCAGCATATATGAGGAGTATTCTAAACTACCTTGCAGCCAAAACAAGACTGGTCTTAAAAGATCTGATTGTTCAAAATATCCAACACATGGCAAATTTACTACTTAGGGCTAATCTGCTACCAGAAATCGGTATACATTGTCCCTTTCTAAATTTATATTTGAAGCAAATATCTATAGTGAGGATGAGCAAACTCATTAACAAATACGATGAATTGCTGTAAATCTGAAATTGTACATTTCAATGACCATCTATATTCCATTGTGTACTCTCTATGGAGATTTTGCCCTATTAGAGATCATTATTGTGCATTTTCTATCTATTGCATGAAATAGGATATGAATAATTTCAGAATTAAACAGCAATAAGACTATGCAAAAAGAATTGTACCAAAATCTGCCTTCATTTGAATAGATCTCAGATCCAAAGATAAGAAAACGTGCATAGACTGTGGCATTTTTCATCTTCGACAGTTTCTTGTTTTCCTTTATCTACTGCGCTTTCTCTGAAAATATTTTAGCAGGCCTCAACACCTTTACTGTGAATTGATTTCATATAAAAAAATTTAATTCTAGGTTAATTCTTACCCTGGCTCTTTCCAAGCTTTTAATCTGTTCATGAAATGCAGCTGGGCTTTTTAAAGCTGAAAAACAAGAGAAGACAATTTCAGCAAGGATAGCACTGAAAGGAATACTAGGACTTGGGAACAAAGTAAAACAAAATACCCAAGTCACAGCAAATTACAACCTTTAGAAGTTTCAACTTTTTAAAAAAAAATATAAATACAGGAAAAAAGGTAACATTTATATTTTTGTATTTTGATGCCAGTTTTGACTCTATTATATACTGAGTGGTCAAAGTCAGTTGTCAAAAATGTGGATGTCACTTAATACATAGACATTCGGCCCATGTGTACGGCAGCCGGTCCAACAGAAGCTGGGCATTTGGCTGGCTTCTGTCAAAAGGGTCATGACAGAAAAAGGATGGTCGATCGGCTCCCGATCAGCGCTCTCAGCCATCGTTAGAACAGTCAATGTGAGTTAGATAGTACTAAAATAGGCCACGTAGTCCACCGCTCCTCTCTGTCCCGCAGGTACCATCAAGTGAATTCCAGCAGATGTAGATGGTGAAAACATCGACCTCACATCCGCCTTGTGTTCCACGCTGGTTGGCGTGGACTTCCTGGCTCCTGCCTTGGTTCCTCAGCCATCTTTTCATCTACAGCTGCTGGAATACGCTTGATGGTACCTGCGGGACAGAGAGAAGCAGTGGGACTATGCAGATATGATCAGCCCATACATATTATTCATTATGTCTGTGTTTTGACCTTCTTGTGAATAAACTGATCATTTTAATATTACACTTAGGTGGCACTTCACTCCCCCTTTTCTTTCTTTTGTACATCATGATAGGTTATTCTTACTACTACAACTTTTTTGGTTCTTTTTCTTTGCATTGCTGTCCTTCTCCGATTGCTCTAGTTGCTATATCGTCAGCTCTCTTGTCACTGCTGCCTTAGCATGAATTGTCTTATTTATAAAAAAAATAAATACAAAGATCAGTGGTAGCACTGTGGCAGTGGATACTGCAAGTGCAGGGGGAGAGAGGTCATCAGGAGGCTCCACTGCAATTTTGCTATGGAGTTGTATGATCTAAAGTTGAGCCCCTGAATTCTATTTAGTCAATATGCTTTGTTTGAAGCTAGCATGTTTTTAACTGTCTGACAGCTCCTCTATCTTTCACAACAGTTGTGAGCATAGAGCTACATAATGCATAGAAATGTGTGGTTTCCTGACTCCTATTTCTGTCTGCTCCCCTACAATTCTGAAAACAGAAGTAAAGACTAACAACCAAATGCACATATGTGTTTTCCTTACTGCAAAATGTAGATAAAGACTGGGGATGAGCTTTGGCGTGTTCAAACTAGAATCCAAACCCATGTGTGAGCCAGCCAAGAAACGTTCACCTGTATAGGTCAATCATTTGCAGCCAGGCATTCCCTACCCTGCAGCCACACGTGTACAGCGGGCAAGTATGTGTACAGCTACAGGGCAGGGAGTTCCCCAGCCGCAGATGTTTGGCCTGTACAGGTGATAACATGCTGGTGGGCTTACACACGAGTTTGGATCCTAGATTGAACACTCCTAAGCTCATCAATGGTAAAGGCACATCTGTTAGATTCAGCACACCTTTTGATTCAACCCTCAAAGCTAATCTTTCACTGCAAAAAAAGCCAATGCTAAACTTTAGCTTTAGTAAAAAGAATATAAAATGTAAAGATATATAGCAAGGAATCAGCACTAGCAATATAAGCCAATATTGTCATATATTTCACTACAATACTGAAAATATTCTACATTCAAGTTGTATGCTGCAGAAACATTTTGTGGTCTGAAAGGGAGTGGTACTTCAGTATGTTAAACTGATGTAATCCTTCTCGTCATTTCCACAGTTGCTTATTAAGGGAAATGAAGCACATGAATCGGTCTGGTTTTACCAGGCTGTATACTTTTTTATTTAGGGAGCATGTGGTTTTATATCTTCACATTTTCCTCATCAAAATTCACAATCCAGTTTTAGCTCATGTGTTCAAAGGTCAGACATTAGATATTCACAGAAGTGGTCTAGACAAAGGTAGAGCTGGATGTCTAGATGCCTCAGAACAAAGGCCTGGAATTGATTCTGATGAACACAAGTAATTCCTTTTGTCCACTCCAATGCTAAAGACCTTATGGAATGTCCTGTTATTTTATTCCTTTTACAATCAATTTGCAATCATTACAAAAACTGAATACGAAAAGGATGTTATTCATCGATTTACCCTCAACTTGGGTTTTAGGTAAACATTTCTGTATCAACACTTAGTTTACAACACATGGCCAAAATTTTAACATTCATCACAATGTAAATATAAGTTAACTAGACAAGGATTTATTACATAATTGGTTTTAATGAACAAAATGTAAAGGATAAATTCACCTTTTGGACAAAAATAATAAATGCACACTTTTTTGCAGGTAAAAAAAAAATGTGCATTTATTATTTTTGTCCAAAAGGAGCCTGGAAAGCATTGCACCAAAAATCAGTAGATCGCTGATGCGATGTAGGGCTCAGTTCACACTAGCTTTGTCAGCAGGTGTCAGACAGGCCTTTGGGAAGCATTTTTAATGCTGCGGGACTTGCAGTTCATTCACGGAAGTCCATGAATGAATGATGCAGCTGCGTGGGCATGGCTGCAGCTATGGGAACAGGTTACATGTTCCACCCTAAAAACGGGTGGAACATGTAACATGTTCCCAAAGTGAACTTATCCTTTAAAGGCAGCATGAAAATGTATTTGTTGCAGAGTAAGCTCTGGTTCAAACTGGTGTGACTTGCCATGTGATTTGACAGTTCCAAATCATATGAGAAGTCGCATCCCATTGCCAGCAATGGAACCATCCATATCGCCATGACTCAAAAGCAGCAATTATGAAAAAGGTTCTTGCACTACTTTTTGTCAATTTCATTGTGACTTGCATAGACTTCTGTTATTTGAAGTGACAAACACAAATGAAATCAGAAGTGCAAATCGCCACTGATATGCAGCTTTCAAATTGTAATGAAGTAGCCTGATTTCAAAGTCACACCAGTGTGAACCGGGGCTAGAGGTCAACAAACCTTCAGCAACTTTTTTTCATTTTTTGCTCTTAGCTACAGATTATTTCTGATGATATGACATCACCTTTATGATTAAACAACCTTTCGTCCATGCTTGTTAGGATTCTGTTTTTAGCCAATTGCTTTTTGGCAGTGATAGTACCTCTTTACATTAAGCATACCTTCATAGTGCTGAACACATGTTTATTCACCCCATTTTACAATGCATTTACGTATAGGAAAACAGATCCATACCACATCCTTACCAGATTTAGTTTTAATGCCAATGAACACAAACTGTAACAAAATAGGCAATAAATTGCTATGCTTTAATCAAGAACATGAAAGCAAATCTCACTCAAGTGAAAACAAATACTAGAAGACTGCAACATTTGTTAAAAGCCTAAGTTTATATTATTTTTTAATCAGCACAAGGGACAGTACTTACACTGAATAAAAAACATCCCTCATGAAACTGGCTGCCTTTAAATATTAATTCCTCTAATAGACCCCTGATACCTCCATAGGGTCCATGCAAATGGGCTTGAATAAAAATTGGTGCTTCTTCTAGGACTTGTGTTTTGTCTGTAGACACAGCTCAATGTTATGCTATGTGTCCATGCACATTAGGAAGTTTAGAGGCACAGTTTAATCTCAGTGTTTAGACACGGAAAAAAACATTCCTGTTTGCTTTTTTGATTGGAGTTTTCTGGCAGAAAAAAAAAAAAAAGCCAAACGTTCCTAAATGTGCCTAAGCATGTGTACATGTGCTCTGTAAGAGCACTTTTATCTGGCAAGGGAGCTGGCATTTTTTTTAAGCCCAGTGTGCATGGAGCCTAAAGAGAACTTGTCATCTGCACTTTACCATCACATAGGGGGTTTATGACTTGAACTGTTTGACATCAAATTGGTATAATATACTTACAGTTTTTTACAGGTTTTAAAGACCCAGATGTTTTACCAGAAACCGCTAACCATTGCACAAAGCGTTTTCTCCTTTTTGTGCTGGTCATAAAAGACCCACAAACTTGTAGTGAGAGAAGTAGAACCAGAGTGGACCACCAAAAAGAAGTCCGTGTTCACACAGTGCCTGCATGTAGGCAAATGTAGCTGCTCCAGACCAACTATACAAAAGTTGTTGTTAAAACAGTAACACTCATTAAGATTATCATTATGCTAAGCACTAAACATTTTATATTCTCCTTTATTAAAACAGAAATAACTTGTGACAAAAGGGAAGGGGAAAAGGGGTTTGGAAAAATGTTAATAAATTGTAGATGAGTATGTATAAAAATGTTTTTGCATGTTTTGTAAGCTGTAATAACAAAAAAAAAAAAAAACGAAATAACTAGTGACTTACGTGGCATGATGCCCTGGTCTACAAGTTGCTCTCTTGTTCGCCTTTGTTGCAGACGCAACTGGAGCACTGAAAGAGAGAGGAACAGAAGTGGTTAGGAATAGTCTGACTCACACTTGCCAGTCCTTATGTAAGATTTCACGTCAAGCAACTAGACTATCAGAAAGCCGTTAAAGTTGAATTTCTAAACTGTAAACCAAGTTTTATTCAAATAATCAGCATCAGACTACAAACATCAGTTTCAGCAAATCATTTATAGAACTTCAAAAATAAAAAACAACAGCACAGTGCAATTTAAAAGTTATTCGTTCTTTTGCTTACCATAATTCATCATTATAGCTTTTGTCAGCGTTTTGTCTCATATATTTCTTCTTTTGATAAAAAATACACTTTAGAGCAGGCTCTCTCTCTCAACTCCCCCCAAGAGGAACCCCTAAAATAATTTTTGTGGTCCATTGCCTAGATTGGTGGCCAGTAGGAAGAATGCCCCCCCAACATTAGTGGTCAGTAGAAAAAATTCCCCTCCCCCTTACATTAGTGATCAGTAGTAGAAACAATGCCACCCTTACAGACAGCTAAAATAGATTATTGGTGTCATGTTGCTGGTATTGACAATTGGTGTTGGCCCTGGAACTATGCGGGCACCATCAAATGAGAGGTCAATCAGCAAAACCCAAGGGACCCCTGGTAGCCTCTTGATGAACCCTTGGGGTCCACAGAAAGCTGGTTGAGAATGGCTGCTTTGGAGTGAATTCGGTGACACAGAAGTGCCTACTCACAGGGCATAGTGAATATATTGTATATCACAGAATTCAAGTAAATGTGTGGGGATCTTTACAAAGTAAGTTCACAAACTTCAAGATCAGTCAAAAGTAAAAAGAGTAGGCTAGAAAAAATGGAAACACAAAGTGGAAATAAGTAGAACTATTTTAAATGTTGACCATAAATACGCTTTAATGGGACGTTGCTGAGATGAAACTTTCTGATTGAAGCGGTATTAAACCCAAACCAAAAATGTAATATATTGCAGCTTACCAGTCATTAGATGTGGTGGCTGCATACATTCCTTTTTTAGACTATTTTCCCCCCTTATTTTCACTTGGTGATGTGACCAGCAACATACATCCTGTATTAGGCTACGTTCACACTAGCGTTGTGTGCAGGCGGCAGAGAGGCGTTTGGGAAGCGTTTTTTACCGCTTCCCAAACGCCTCTGACAGTTCTGCACATTGCAGCACATGGTGCTGTTCTAACGGGAGCGTTAGCGTCGCGTCAAAATGGACGCCACTGGTCGAGTCAGGTGGCGTTGAAGCCTCCTACTCTAGTCTATGGCGCCATGAGGCGTTTGTGGAGCGGTAACACCATTTAAATTTCATTATAGGCGTTTGCGGAGCGTTTTTAACGCTCGGCAAACGCCTAGCAACCGCCGCTAAACTGCGCATGCGGCATTTGCCGAGTGTTAAAAAATGCTCCGCAAACGCCTGGACCAACGCTTGCCAAACGCTATAGGGGCGTTTGGCAAGCGTTGGTAAAACAGATAAGTGTGAACGAGCCCTTAGAGTGCTTCTACTCTGGATAAATGAGCACAGGAGGCATCTTTGAACAGCAGTATTGTCAGTCTGGGAGAGGGGTGTGTGAGATGTACTAGCAGATTTAAATACACTAACAAAAGCCAAACTCCAGCTATTAATAAGCAGTTACAGAAAACAGTTTTTTTTTTCCATTTTGGGATAAATGTTTTACGTAAATAAAAGCACTTAAATGTAAGCACTGTTAAACGATTTGTCTCATCCCTGTAACTGATATATCTGCAAGAGAGTTTGTGCTTTTGAAAAACAATAGACTTACTAGCTGGTTTGCCGGTACTGATCTATAAAAAATAGTTGCCTGGCTTTCTCTGGGTTCAGTGTTTTCCTGTATATCTTAGAACAAACATGCAGGATGTGAAGACAAAGCAGTTAGAACTCCAGATTTATTTGTTCCAGTGCACTGCATCAAGGTACAGAGAGGAAACCTGTACTGAGCAAAAATGAAAGGTGCCATTACCCAGCTCTCTTGTTCTAAATTCCAGTTTCTTAGCTGTTCTGCTGAGATAATGGCTTCAGTACATTCTGAGTCACTGATGCAGCACAAATATGCAGATCAGGAGTTCTAACTTCACTAGCTACATGGCTTCTGTGACTTGAATTAGGTCCAGAGACAGCAAGACAATTTTTAGAAGGTGGTCTGCAATGGTGTCCAAGCTGGTTATCCTTAGAAGTGAAAAGTCAAGTCTCCAGAACAGGTTGTACAGGGCTGTATTAACCCTCAGGACTGGCTGGAGAAATTACAAATTACAGGCTAATGCTGTCTGATTGCCTGTGAAATCTACATACAGCTTCAGCCTGTCACTGATTTGTATAAGCCTTCTGCCCATGGCTGATAGCAGATACCTGTTGATACCCACTGCAGAAATACACTGAGCTGGGCAGTGTTCAGCCCTGATCCACCATGTGCACAAGATCCAAATTAAATTTCTTATCTGTACTTGGTCGTTTATCTGGAGTTAAAGTGGAATTTGACGCAAAAGAGGAAGTTTCGCTTGTTTGCATCCTAATCCCTCCTGCACTGCTACATTTGGCACTTTTTTTTGGTGGGGGGGAGTTTATCTGGTTTTGACAAGTACCTGCTCCCACTTCTGGTTAGATCCCCATGATTACGTTCGGCCCCTCCCTCCCCCCTAGCCTCGTGGGACAAATCATAGGTCCCATGTGGGACCATTTACAAAGCACAGCAGATCACGCAAGCACAGTTGAAAACCCAGAAGGCATCACTGCCAGTTTCCCTTGCTTAAGGTGCCAGCGCCTGCACCCGAAGCCGATTGAAGAACTGGCTTGGGAGAGGAGATCGCTGGATCCCTGGACAGGTAAGTGTCCTTGTATTAAAAGTCAGCAGCTACAGTATTTGACTTTTAATTTTCTAGGGGGAGACTGGAGCTCCTCTAAGATTTAATCATGTTGGATCTTCAGGAGAAGGTTCCCAGGTTATAACAAACAGAAGATACATAACAGAAAAAAAAAAGCTTTTCAAAACAAGGATTTGTGCATTGGGAAAACTGGCTAAAACCATTACCAGTTGGTTGCATCACTAAAACAGACACCTTTCTACATGGGAGATGACACACATTGAGCTGGGAACAGTCTGTGGCCCATAGACTCAATATGGAGCGAGCAGCTGAAAATAAAACAGTGGGCACTAATGTGATATTCAGAAGGCACACAGCACTTGCTGCTTTCAAACACACAAGCAGTGGGTGAACAATGCTGTTTTGTTTTGAAGTCAGAACTGACACCATGAAGCTCCCTTAGCTCTGGCAGTGTAATTCTAATTTATTTTGAATAACAACTTAGTTCCGTGAGTGGTGGCCAGTTCCATGTTGTTGAAACCGCATGTAAGGCAACATCCATTCCCTGAAGAGCTTTTATAATCATATCAATGCAGAGAAGCCAAGTTTAAACTTTAATATAAGAAGTTTAAAAATGATATTAAACTCCAAACCAAAATATATTGTAGATTACCAATCTTCAGATGTGGTGGTTGCATTTTTTTTTTTTTTTTCTTCCTTTGACATTTTTCCCTCTGGTAATTTGGCCAGTAATACAACTCAAGTATTCGTGAGAGACAACTCTGGATGAATGAGCACAGGAGGCATAGCAGACAGCAGCAGTGTCAGTTTGGGGAAAGGGGAATGTTAAATGTATTAGTAGATTAAGAATACACTAACAAACTGAAGCTGAACTGCAGCAAACATTTTTTAGTTCTTTTGGGATACAAGTTTTGCATGAATACATAAAAGTTAATCATTTTAACGACCCCTGCCACTGTTAATTGGTTTGTCTCATCCATGTAAACTGATACATTATGCTGGCGAGCTTGTGCTTTTGAAAAAAAAAACCACACTTGCTGGCTGTATCGCCAGGTGAAAATAGAAGAAGCGAAGCCTAAAAAAGGAATACAGCCATCACATCTGAGAATTGATAAGCTGCAATATAATAAATACTTGTTTTTGGGTTTAATCCCACTTTAAGAAATATTTATTTATAAACCTTAGGGGAAAAACCGTAAGTATGATCACACACACTCCAGTCAATATATATTATTTAACTAACCTGCTTGAATTTGAGACTATAATACAAATGTCTTTAGATGATATCCACTTTGTGTCTACAAAATGGTGTCCATAGGCTGAGGCACTGAGCAGGTTTGACTGTTAAGAGAAATACTTCCAGCGCAAATGGATGGATACTTTCTCTATTGTTAAAGCGGAATACCAGCTATAATCTTTATTGTATACTTACTGTGCATTGGCACAATGTAAATATGCATATTTGAAAACCAACAATAACTTTTGTAGTTGGTGCTACTATAGCGATATTCTATCTTCTGGATTCCATGCCTAGCGGCCTTCCCTCTGTACACTGACCACGGGGGTTTGCTCACTCAGCACTGCTGCCATTCAAAAAAGACATTTTTTCAAAGAATACAATACTTTCTCTGATTGCACAAGGTGGAGAGGAGAGACGGTGATGTCAATGTCCACTTTATCCAATTAGACAATGCCTTGAATCTGGAATCAAGGGTAAAAATCTTGGCTGCTCTTGGTGCAAAGGTGCCAGAAAGAAATCGTATAACTTTTTATGTCACCATTTGAAGAGAAACAGGCGTAGCACTAAAAGAATAGCCGAGGAAGGTTTAATCTGAAAATTGCTAAACAGGTGGCAAAACATTTTGACAAATCATTTCAACCATTGAGATCAAAGACCGTTGGAGCAACTGATACCAGCACCACTTCTTGAAGACCTATAGGCACCTCTGCTAGGTGTTCTCCACCCAAAAACTGACACGAGGACATGAAGGGAAGGAGAGATCTTGTCAATACAAATAACATTAGAAATCCTTTAGTCAAATCAAACAGCAGTAAACACTAAAAAAGTAGAGTGAAAATCTTCCAGGGGTACACCTGTTTCGCTGACAATTGCTACAGGAACAATTACTTCTCACTTTGTGGAGATTTTTATCTCACTTCATGCTG